TCTATTCTGAATGCACCATCAGGTGTTATCACTTATCCATGGCTTTCTACCACTCTTCTTTAATCATGAACTGCTAATAGCCGTCTCTCTCTCTCTCTCTCTCTCTCTCTCTCTCTCTCTCTCTCTCTCTCTCTCTCTTGTTGTACCTCACCAGGACATCCCACAAGCGATAAACACCCGGTGACACAAAGCGCCACCATGCGGATGAGGATAACCCATGGAGGGGTCCCAGAAACCCTCTTAGCCGTGAGGCCATATTTAAGGCCCGGCTATATTCAGGGCCCCCGAAAAAAGCCAAGGTGGGGCTTAAAAAAACTATAACCGCCTCTAAGAAAGAAGTCTTTATATTGTTCTGTTTATCTTCCGCACACTGCTCCCTTTCCTGTTCACACACCTTGTACTTATTATTGCCAGTAAGAATACATAGGACTGTCATGGTGTAGCATGAAAATACACTTACACGTATTGACTTGCACTTTCAGAGTACATACAAATTTAATAAAACCAGATAATACATTAAGCAACAGATAAATATACAGCTGTGAATCCACCAGGGTTTGAACTTTTATACCCCCATATATTTGGTGACCTGGCAAATTGCACCCCGATGACACTATCTGATGTAGGACTACCATCATCATCATCATAATTATCATCATCACCATCATCATCATGATCCTTCTGACTATTATATGTCACATATGGCTCGCAGTCTGCTCCTCCATTCCGTTCCCTCATATGCAATCCTCTTTATATCATGGCTGGAATTCAGTCCAGAACCTTTGGCCTCTCTCATTAACGTGATGTGGTCAGCAGCACCCTGGCCACCTTTACTTTGCAGGACTTTACCTGGTACCCATTTAAGGTTGCGTTGACCTGGGAGCCAAGTTTGTGTATGGGAACAAATTACCAGGCTGTGTGTCGGTAGTGTACTTATCTTGAATGTTATAGATAGTATCGAATAAAAATATGCACTGCTGCAGTTCGGTAATGCTCATACGCGAGCCACCACTTGTAGTCTTACACAGATTTTGCTATGCATTTACACACATGATCTAACACTTTCTATTATCTGGGTTTACAAAACAGACATTGTGCGCAGATCCACAATGGTTGGGGACGGGCTGTACTAACTTGTATTGTTTGTGTTGTTAGAATAATGGCTCTAAATTCTTCCTTCACCGCCGTCCAGTAGCTGGCTATGTACATAACTGTGTTGCCCGGCTCTCTAGCGAAGTTGGTTAAACCTGACTTTCGCGGCGGCCGGGTGATGAACTCCTTGTGGTCCAGGTTCACTCCCGGGGGTAGGCAGAAAAGCCACATTTCTCCCAGATTAACGGTACCTATAATGGAATCAAGGCCGAAGGGTTGCGATATGCATAGTACCGAGCCAAAGGGTTTACAACTCATGGTTTCTGGACACGTTAAACAAAAATGTACATAACTGTGCTCAGATAAGGCTGTTTAGAGCTCTCTTTCATCGCTCGCTCACCTTGTCTCTTTTTTCTGCCGTGCTCTTGGCATGGGTTCCGGAATCCTATCGTAAAAGTGACTAGTTATAGGTATGTCTTTCTGTCGTAGTGCATCTCACTAAGAGGGAAGGAACCAACATTCTGCATACGAATGTGCCAGCTGAAATCTATAGAGATGGATGTATACGCAGACCTCAAGTTCTAGGTTGGAAAAAGGCTAAAGTAAAGAAGCGGGACAAATAACAAAAACGTTTCGCCGGAGTTTACAGCCGGTAAACGAAAAGAAGACGTTGCCGTATGCAAATCGTCCAACAATATTGTTGGCTTCCACTTCTACACTTCCCGGGAACGGTTGGCTCCGTGATGATATTTCCCCGACGAATTATGCTAGTGGTATATCGGATATATGATGCTAGTCTATGCTTTACTAGATGGATGATATGGTGGGCATCAGACTTGTCTTTACTTGCTAGGACTTTGCTTGATGCCCATTTTATGCTAGGTTGAATATTTAATGTTGAAACAAAAATTGACATCACGGAACTCGGGACACTCCCATAAATGTGCAGTCCCCATCTCCAGCAACAAGCGAAGAGTTCCAATTCCGATGGTACCAGTAACCGTCTGATTGTACATCCGTTTCATCCTTCCCCTGAGTGTTGAGCGTCGGTCACATCCCCTGGTAACTCCTCGCAGCGCCATTTTAGGCTTGGTCGATGTGGGAGCCAGTCATTTATAAAAACGAAGCATACATCCATCCATTGATGAAAACACAACAAAATATCGACCACATTCAACCTGCTGCGAGCAGTATCGACTATAATTGTGGTCGGATTTCTTTGTGCCAAGTATTTTGGCTAAGAAGTATTAGTTGTACCAAAAGGAATGTCTAGAACCGGTACTCTAGTACCCGGTGATGGTTGTTGGCCAGGGGCCTGCTGACTTGACGCGGATTGGAACCCACGACCTTCGCCAGCAGGTAAGCTTATGGTTGCTGTGCTACTATGGCTGACAGATCTAAGATTTCTGTAAGGTGATGATGGTCCGGTAAATGATGTCACTGAACACTAAAGAATCAAGTGGTTTGGTCATCCTGTCAGAATTGAAAGAAAATCAGCCAGCAGCTCGAGCTTACTCGAAAACAGCAGGCTACAAGACAATAGTCTGACCAAGAAAACAGCAGGCTACAAGACAATAGTCTGACCAAGAAAACAGCAGGCTACAAGACAATAGTCTGACCAAGAAAACAGCAGGCTACAAGACAAAAAGTCTGACCAAGAAAACAGCAGGCTACAAGACAAAAGTCTGACCAAGAAAACAGCTGGCTACAAGACAATAGTCTGACCAAGAAAACAGCAGGCTACAAGACAGTAGTCGTACCAAGAAAACAGCTGGCTACAAGACAATAGTCTGACCAAGAAAACAGCAGGCTACAAGACAATAGTCTGACCAAGAAAAAGACGGTGGAGGGAGTGAAAAAAGACAATACAGAAACGTAGCAAAAGACATGAAACCACATCTAACTTCTCTCTGCGACCCTTTACGACAGAAGCAGTTGGACACAAAAAGAAGTCCCATAAAGGTACGTAGGGAGATACGTAGTTGTACCCCACCAGGTCATCACACAAGCGATAAACACCCGGTGACACAAAGTGCCACCATGCGGATGAGGATCACCCGTGGAGAGTTCCCAGAAACCCCTTTCAGCTATTAGGCTACATCTATGGCTAGGCCATATCTATGCCCCGGCTATTTTTAGGGCCCTGGCAGAAGCCAGGGTTAAGCTTCAAATAACAAAAAAATTGCATCCCACAAGGGTACGACTGATAAAATATTAGTCCCATAAAAGATACTGTATTCGTGTTATGAAGTGTTACGCCTTCGCACATTCTAGATTACGAAGCGTGGAGGGTAGCCACTTCCCTTTTTTTGTCGCCTTCTCAGACAGTTCTTGTAAAATCTGGAAATTATCTGGTAGCAGTTTGAATGAGGATTGGTCAAACCTCACAGTCGATATTGTTGGAACAGTTCCCGCCACTTTTGGGTATTTAAACCGGTCCACTGTCAACATAGGCAATTTGACTTAAAAATGCATAGATGTATGTAGGTCAGCAGTGTCGAGAAATGCAATGTTTCATTTTCTCACTGTCCGACTCTAATTGCAACGTTTATGTTAGGTATGCAGACTCTGCTCAGCTCAAGTTATATTCATCATCATCATCATTTCATCATCATTATCCTGTCATGCTATTTTGTATCACATAGGGCTCGCAGTCTATCCTCCAAAGCCTTAGCACACGAGGCGGACACCATGTCTCGAGACCACGCAGCCCTCCAGTAAACAAGCAAATAGGCCGGTGTATAATTTAGTCCGCCCATAAATATGGTCTAACGGCTGAACGGGGTTTCCGGGACCTCTCCACGTGTGATCCTCATCCACATGGTGGCACTTTGTGTCATCGGGTGTTTATCGCTTGTGTAATGTCCTTGTGGGGTAAAATGTACTACTACTACCACTACCACGACAGTCTGAATCAAAAGAATTAGGATTGACCACACACGACAGGGATGTCTTTTGTCGCCTCTCTTTTTTTTACTGGCTATAGACTGGACTATTAAAACAGTAACTGCTAACACCAAGAATGAAATTCAGTGGACCCCTACAAAACAGCTTGATGATCTGGACTTCGCTGATGGTATTGCTCTTCTGTCCCATTCACAAAATTAGATGCAAGATAAATTAAATATACTTAATGCGAGATCACAGCAGCTTGGTCTGAAAATCCATAAAGGAAAGACAAAGATAATGAGAATAAATCAGGCAAATAGTAATGTTGTTTCTCTTAATGGCACCCCACTCCAAGACGTGGAGTCGTACACCTATTTAGGCAGTAATGTAGATAAAGATGGAGGAACTAATAGAGATATTAAAATAAGAATACAAAAGGCAAGAGGGGCTTTCATTGCACTAGGGAATTTGTGGAGGTCAAAAGAAATTAAAAGAAATACTAAACTACAAATTTTTAATTCTAATGTCAAATCAGTACTATTGTATGGGGCGGAAACATGGAGAACAGCTGAGGCAATTACTAATAAATTACATTCATTAACTGGTGTCTGCGCAGAATAGAGGGAATAAAATGGTATGATAGAATAACTAATGTAGAACTTTGGGAGAGAACTAAACAGGCTCCAGTGGATCAGGAAGTGAGGAAAAGACGCTGGTGTTGGATAGGGCACACACTGAGAAAACAGGAGAACAGCATTACCAGAATGTCTTTGCATTGGAACCCACAGGGGCATAGGAATAAAGGAAGGCCAAAAAAAACACATGGAGAAGAGAGCTGGAGAACGAGGTTAGAAAGATTGGGAGGACATGGGGAGAGCTCCATGCAATGGCGAAGGATAGAATAACTTGGCGTGAGTTGGTTGAGGGCCTATGCTCCATTGGGGGATAGAAAGCCAGAAGAAGACACACGTGTGTGTCTGTGTGTGTATTTACATACATATCTTTATTTTCCAACTTAGGTGGACAGGTAGAATCTTCTGGAAAGGCTACCACCACACTCTGGATGAGGCAGATGTTTACGATGTGTTACCTAAAGATTCAACAGTTAAACTTTCCAGCAATCTCGCCAGGTATTTCCAACTCTAAGCTTGTCTGCCTTCTGTGTCTTTTTTCCCCTCTGGTAACATGACCAGTCTGAATCCTTAACATGTGTATATGGCTTGAATATTTACTCAAAGTCAGAATTCTTTTCAGTGGTGAGCCAATCAGGACAGCAAGAAAAGTATAGAAAAGAGGGAGATAACGACAATTTAAAAAAAAAATGTTTTCATTAGATGAATTTATGAGTGAGAAAGAAAAGATGTTTGGAAATGAATCATGGACATTCAGCACATTAGTAAAAAATATGTTCGAAGCTGCAGAAAAGTGGTTTTATAGATGAATGGTAAGAACACAGTAGACAGATTTTTAAAAAATGCAATGAAGATATCCTGAAAGAAGTTAATTTACAGAGATAATTGATTACCCGCATCAGAAGCAGACAACCCTCTTATGTAGTTATTATATCCAATTTTGTCCTTTTTAGGACGAAATTTTTTGTAATTTGAAGCCCTACTCTGGCTTTTGCCAGGGGCCGCAATATAGGCAGGCCATATATATGGCCAAATGTCTGAACGCGGTTTCTGGGACCTCTCCGCGGCGATCCTCATCCACATGGTGACACTTTGTGTCATCGGGTGTTTATCGCTTGTGTGATGTCCTGGTGGGGTAGAAATTCAGTTCAGTTCTGCAGACAACCCTCATTCTTTGGGCATGTCCTGAGAAAGGGGAAACTACAGCATGCTGTGAAAATATGAAAGTTAAAAGCAAAGAGGACCAAACAAAATAGAGGATATTGTACAGTTTGGTATCACACTGCATAGAATACTTTTCTGTATCAGAAATGACTGACAGTACGTGTGACAGAAAAGAATCGACTAAATGCTTACTAAAGCCACATGATTTAGACTCTAAGATGAAAAATACTTATAGAAATTTAACCACACATTTTTTTTGTGGACAGGCAAATTTGTTTGTATAATAACATTTTACCTGGTTGCCTGTTTGCCTACCTAGCTATATTTGCATTGGCTTATTCGTCTACATCTCTATCTCTTTTTTATACATGTCTTTTGAACTGCTCATAATGTGTATGCCCTTTATTATCTTTACATTTTCTTTCAGTTTCAGTGTTTTCTCTGTATTTTTCTCCTATACACAAACTCACTCACTGATAAACTTACTTAGCCTTTTGTTAATTCACCAGCTCTCATACAGACTATAAGAATTATTCACCCATTGATCATTTTGCCATTCTGTCTCAATTCCTTCTAGTCAGAATTTTATATCTTTAATATACTTACCTTCTGATTTCTTGTAATGTTCAACAACTGGCAGAGAATGGGAGAAAGAACTGTATATGTACAAGACAGGAGGCAGACCCCGACTGACCAGAGCTCTGTGGAGGTGTTACAGGCTGCAGATCCTTTCCTTCACATTTTTAATCTTCATGGAGGTACGTTTTTGAGATATTTGACAGAGGTTAACATAAAGATTTTATTAAAAGTATATAATGCTCATGTAGATATAATTAGTCAGACCAGTAAAGTACATATTTAGCAACAACAACAAATGGCTATAATAAAAGAATAAAATTTGAACACAAAATGTATGCAGTCTCCACAATGAAGGTTGGCTTCTGTGCACCCATTGCTGTCTTTGGGGAAAATTACAAGGTGAAGCACCAGCTTCTTCCACTGTGCAGCTCTCATACCACAGTCCGAAAACCAAAAGAGCAATTGTGAATCTAAAAACGAAAAGACCTTTATTTGATTACATTTATACACTTGCTGATCTTCAGTTATTTCCTCCTTCATCTCTATTCACATCTAGATCACGGGGGCTGCGTGGTCTTGAGGAATGGTGTCCACCTCGAGTGCTAGAGGTGCGGGGTTCAATCCCCATTCAGGGCTGGGTTTTTTTCATGTGAACTTGGACTTCTAGTAATTCCCCCAGTCTTTGGGTAGCGAGATTGGACGCGTGTGTACATTGTTGCACATGTAAAAAATCCCTTGGCAGTTGGAAATTTAAAAAAAAGTAGCCTGGGAAAAATCTGGAGTTGAAAATCTACCCAAATTATTTTAGGATCCTCGCCAGTGCTACAGAGCTTGTGCAATGTGCAGAGCTCTTTTGGACTCAGGCTTGAGTTAGAAGTAGAACAGAGCACTTATGGGTTACTACCTGTGTGCCATAATGTTGGTCTGTTGTTCAAACTTCAAACTTCACATCCAGATCAGTGCAGCACAGTCCATGATTCATGAATCCACCTCAATACCTGTATCCTTTATGTTTCACTTGCACACATTTATGTCTCACTTGCACACATCTTCATGTTACAGTAACTGCAAATGAGACACAGGCACACAACTCAGTCACTCAAAAAATAACCCACAAATTTATTATTTAAAGAAAATGATCTGATAACATAATTAGCCCTAATTCCTTTACCATCTACTAAATGTTCATTTCTCTTTATTAGGAATGTTTGAGAGTTGTTCAAGCATATCTCATGGGAATGTTCATAAAACTCTTTGAAGTTGATGACAGCCATGGTGATGAAAGCTTTAACAACTACAGCGGCACAAATAACACAATCAAAATAAACAGCCAGCGTCAAATGATCACTCAGCCAGATGTCTTCATCTATATAGCCTTCATTATTCTGGCTTATCTAGTCAGCATCTTCCTAGATCATAATTTTTTCCATTATGGATACAGAATGAGAGTTGCAACAACATCTTTAATTTACAGAAAAGTAAGTTTGATTTAATGTGCTTTTTGAATGGGTGATTGAGTGATTCATGTGATTGATTGATTGAGTGATTGATGTTCAATCCCACCAGGACATAACACCGAGCAATAAATACCCGGTGACACCAAGTGCCACCATTCGGATGATGATCACCCAGGGACAGGTCCCAAAAACCTGATCAACACATAGGTTGGGTTATATTAGGGCCTCCGGCAACAGCCAGGGTTGGGCTTCAATATAAAAAAAATTGCGTGGGACGAACATTTGTAGACAATTTTTATGGGTGGAAATTGTTGTAGTTTATTTAGCGAGGTGCTGATGTGTCAAGACAAGATTTAGTACTGGAGAAACATCACTTCACTTCCCTGTTGTCCAGCCTCATACATGTGTACTAGTCTTTCTGATGAAGACAATTTGTCTAACAGTGTAATCATCAATGATTCAGTGCAAGACAAGAGGAAAACACTCGATATAAAGATTGGAAAACTCAAAATGGCTGATGTAATACTAAAAATACTCCAAATATGGTCCTAAAACCATATTAGCAATATGTTTTATTGACATTGTCCATGGTCTTATTGTTTAACTTTATTGAGTAGCCAGTTTGTGACTGTTAATATATGATCACATTTGAAACAGGCATCAAATGCTTTTAAATGGTACTAGCCTGAAGTAAATTTAATAATTTAAATATCTAGGAAGTACATTCTCAGAGGACGGCAGAATAGATCAGAGAATAGAAACAAGATGCCAATGAGTCAGTGCACTTATATACCAACTGACACCATTATTAAGAAATAGATTACAAACAGCATATTCATACCAACATTGTTCTACCACTTCCAGACTTGGGAAATTATCAAAGTCTAACCTACATAATACTTATTTCTTAACATAGCAAAAACAAAGATAATGCATACAAACAAAACTGCCATGGAGAAGGAAATATATGTTAATGAGGAAAGATTGGAAGTGGTGGAAAATTTCAAATATCTTGGGTCACTGGTTACCAACAATGGTGACACAATGAAAGAAATTAAACGGCGACTATCAATTGCTCTTCAAAGACTAAAACAACTGAATAAATTATGGAATTGTACAGATAGAATTACAAAGGTCAGATTTTTAAGAGCATGCATCTTTCCCATTGCAACATACGCCTGTGAGACCTGGACACTTACTAAACAAGCGGAACAGCGCATAAATGCATTTGAATATAAATGTTACAGACAGGTTCTAAGAATATCTTGGGTAAAGAAAAGATCAAATGCATCCATACTTCAAGAGCTGAATATTGAAGAGGGTTGGCTAGTAAAGACAATAAAACAAAGAAAATTGAAATATTTTGGTCACTTGAAACGTCATGGAAGTCTAGAGAGAACAATAATGGAGGGGTATATGCCTGGGAAGAGAGGAAGAGGAAGGCCAAGGAGAAGATGGGTGCAGGATGTGGCAGATGATTTCCAGATGGGTGTATCAGACTCAGGACATCTTGCTCAGGATAGGAAGGTTTTCCGGAGGGTTGTTATGGCAGCGAGGTTCCGCGAGGGACATGCTACTGAATGAATGAATGAACCTACATAAAATTAACACCTGTGAAATGACATGCCAGATAAAGCTGCCAACTTTATCCATCCAAGACAAAGTTAGAATTGATATTATCAGACAGTCAATGGTAACAACACCATGCAGCAAATTCACTGAGAAACAGTAGATCAAATGGTTTGGTCATATATTAAGAATGCAGACAGAACAACTACCAATGCAGGCTCTACACATGAAATGATTTGATGTGAAAGCAAGAAGTCATCCTAGAGAAGATAGAGATTCTACATCGACACAGAATGACAATAGCCATTGCTGCTCATCAAGCAAAGGATTGCAGACTGTTCCTGCCCATGACAGCAGCAGATGGGGAAATTGGTGGTGATGATGATGATCAAATATTTATTAAGATATCTGAAATTATACGTAAAAGTATTTCCTCTCATGAACCAATACACTGAGTCATTACTTTACATAAAGAAATACAATTTATAATAATTATCTTGTGACACGTTTGATTATTCAGCCGATGTATAGTTATAACATAACAGACACTAAATATGATAATGCATTAACCTATTTTTTATAAGAAAAATCATTGAAATATTTGCAAGCATTGCCAGCATGAAAACTGAAAGTAAAATGTCATTCATTTCATTTGTAGGTCATGAGACTCTGCAGCTCAGCTCTGCGGCCCTCCATAATGGAAATGATTATGAACTTGGTCACAAAAGAGGTGGACATATTTCCTGTGGTAAAATATGTTTTATTATATCAGATTACTGATAATCATCATCATCATCATCATCATATACTCTGCAGATAAACTAAAGCTGTTATGGTTTGCAGTCTCACATAATCAGGTCAGAGTTTTTGTTCTTATTGCCAAACCATTTGTGTATTTATTTCCTGTCAAGTTAATTTATCATAAGGTATTTACTTTCATTTCTTCTTAAAACATATACACAAACTATGACAGTCTACATCAAATTTCTCATCAGTATATGGTTTTAATCTGTTTTATGAAGGGCTGCTTCATTTATTTTTTCTGCAGTTCATGACATTTTTTGCATTTTTCTCAGAATCCATATTTTCACTGCCATTATATTTGTTCACTTTGCTTGTTGTCCATGTTTAACATACTTAAACAAACAATACAGGTTCTTTATAGCGCTTCAACATCTTTCACTTGGTGAGTATGCTTTGCATCTTGCAAAAGGATTTTTTTGCCATGGTATTTCTTGTTTTAATCTCTAGAAGGACCTTACAGTTGTATTGATTTACTGGATTAGGTTTTGTTTTTCTGGCACATACATTTTGTTATCTAGAGAGAAAAACAAAGTTATCGATTGGAAGCTAAGGTTGTCATTTTGTACCTGTGTTATCAGGTCAAGCGCTATAACACCTGTGTTGTCAGATCAAAAGCTATAACATGTGTCTGTTGTATGCTTAAGTATTTTGAATACTTGCATATTATTTATAGTTATTTAGTTGGATATACTTTACAAGGTTTTGCAGAACCAACCCCATAATTTTCTGGCTGTTGTGGTTTTTCTAGGCAAATCTTTACATTCAGTAGTTTGCTATTGCTCTCTGAATGATCAGCTCTTGGTACCATTGTGGAAACTAGCACAAGACACTCTGCTTCCAAATCGCACTGGGATCGAACCTGGCATCCCGGCATTATTAAGCGTTTGCAACACCTAAACTGATGACATCATTTATAGATTTGTCAAAAATTCTTAGCTTGATTGTTTTTACAGTTCTGTTCTCAGTATGAGATTATTGTACAGTTCTGACATCTGCTTATTTTCTTTCTTATCCCAAATCTTGTCTTAAGCAGTTTAATCATCACCCCATCACATAGGCATGGTTCCATCAAGAGCTGTTAATTTATTTTTTATACCACCTGGTATGAAAACGGAATTACCTAGAGAACAAATGATGCCAGAATGAAAACCGATTGTTTGCTCAAACTGGAAAAAATATTGTTGCTCTACTGTAACAGGTACAGTGCAGATATGTCATACTGACAGATCTATACAAATGACAAAGTTAAAGAGGAATCTATGATTGAGAGTTTTTATATAACTAGGAATTCTATTCAATTCAGAAAGTGATTAAAACTAGGAATAGAATTAGAATATTACCTCTAATATCTAATCAACATTGTTCCTATGTGGGTTCCTGGGTCCCATTGTAGGTGAAAACAAGAATAGACATGTTGTAAGAGTTGACTAATTGGGGGGAGCTTCCTTCGAAGTAGGAGTACATCTGCCTGAGAGACAAGGAACCAACAGTCTGCATGCAAATGAGTAAGACTGTAAAATGGATGTGGACGCAACACTCAGTTTCTGCAGAGCTTACAACCAGTGAACATGAAGAAGAAGAAGAAATCAACACCGTATTATCAAGCTTGAACATGAAGAAGAAGAAGAAATCAAAACTGTGTTATCAAGCTTGAACATGAAGAACGACTAAGATAATCACTTATAAACTATTAAAAAAAAAATTAAAAAAAACAGATTCTCTTGCAATATAATATTTATTTATATATGTCCTATGTTTACTTGTAAAACTTGCCTACATTTTAAAACTCAGGATCCATAATATGTAAAACTCATTTCATTCTGTCTAGGTGGTTTTGCCTGCAACATACATTTTGATTGGTCCAGTACAGCTAGGAGTCACATGTTACTTGTTATGGGATTGGTTGAAACTTGGCCCAGCCTGCATCATGAGTTTTGCACTTCTGTTTCTCTTGTTTCCTCTCCAAGTTTTCATGGGACGTTTATCACGTCTGCTTAGGTAATTGTTTGTTTTTATGTACTATAAATGGATAAGCTACCCTTATAAATTGTGCAGACTGTAGAGTCTGGGTGAACTAAAATTACTCAGTCCTACTTTCACAAATCACACATGGATTATAAGAAAACATGTATTAATTTTTTTAACAGAATATTGAATTAATAATGATTTAAAAACTTTGAATTGTTTTTTTTTTCCAGAGAAAAAATGGATAATTTAACAAATTCTCGACTCAGACATCTACAACTGATTGTGTCTGGGCTAGAAGAGATGAAGACATCAAACTGGAGTGAGTTCTGTGAAAGAGTCATTGGGAGATCCCGAAAGTAAGGATAATGTTTACTTCTACTCCAGCTTCTAATTTAATTAGACTTGAATCATGGGGAAAAGGGGGGGGGGGGCACCGTGGTGTAGAGGCTAGACACTCTCCTGCAGATCAGAAAGCCGTGGGTCCACCTCCTGAAGATGCCATACTTTTTTCAAAATGACCTTGGCTTCTAGGTCAACCTAAATGGGTACCAGGTACAATAATGGAAAGTAAAGGTGGCCTGTGCACTGTTGACCAAATCACCAGCTGAGTGACAATTGGTCTGAGATATAGGTCTAGCCCTATATGCCCAAAACGCCTGACGGCATGGCAAAGGGTCTTTTACTTTACTTAACTTTGAATTGTAGGTGCCAGAAACTGGGAATGCAGAAACCTGGGAGGGGCCTGAGCTCCTTTTCACCCATACATTTTCCAAGGAGCTAAATGGTCTGCTCCCTCTAACAGTGAATAGACTTTCTTTTTTCAATATTTGTGTATATTCACACGCATACACATGCGCTTGCACATGCGCATGCACACACACACACACACACACACACACACACACACACGCAGGTATTTTCCATTCAACAAATGATAAGAGTAATAATAATAATAATTCTTTCTGTGGTTATTATTATTCTTCTGCCCTTAAAGCTTGATCTTTCAGTCCCACCAGGTTCTAATGTCGAAGGGAGTTAAGAATGATAATACTAAATTCATGGGTATACTGCTTTCACAAGGGCCAAATATACAACCCTTGCAGGAAACAAATATGCTGTTGTCCTCCCTAAACATAAGATATAAAAGCATACATAACATATCGATTTGTACACATAAATGATAACCAGTCACTACGGAAAAAAAAGACTTAAGCCCCTTCAATCCATTCCCAAATCACCCAATAGAAAATTATAAGTGGCTGAGGACCCCCCTAACTCCCCCCACTCCCTTTGTAGAAGCACCCATGGCTTGAATTTGTGGCGTACATTGCCTTTTGATTGATTAACATAATAATTTTTCAAACAGCTTTAAATGTATACATGGCTTGGTCCTTCAGTAAAGTTGTAAACCTTATATCTTTTTTTTCTAGATCAGAACTCAGCCAAATGAAGAAACTGTCCAGACTTCAAGCTTTCAACGGCTCTATGGCTTTAACCTCCGGCAAATTAGTAGTCATGGCAACCTTTCTGTTGTTAATTGTAACGGGCCATCGGATTAATGCCACACAAATATTCACGACCTTGGCCTTGATAGAGTCACTGAGGGTCAGCTTGAGCATGTTGCTGCCGGCAGGGATGTTAGCTCTGGCTGATGCACTGGCCACAGTCAGGAGGGTAGAGGTTTGTTTTCTTTAAAAAAATATTTTCTCAGTTTTGTTACATACTTTTTTTACTTCAGCAAATTCATTTATGTTTTATTAGTCTTAAATAACATTCACTGTTTTCTTTTTAAGACTATAGACCACCACTGCTACACATTCTACTTATTATGTATTTTTTCACCCATTCATTTGTTGTTTTTATCTTTAAGATGCAAAACCATCCACTAAAAAAAACAAAAGACTTCCCTATCTAGGAAGCATAATACCATCCAGTGGAAATATTGAAGCAGCAGAGATACACGGATGCAAGAACAAACCTGTAAAAATTGACACTGAATACAGTATTTTTACCAACATTGTGTTACCAGTGTCAAACATGGACATTAACAACAAAAGAAAAAAAGAAAAATCAAACATCAGAAATGAAATCTCTGTGAAGAATCCTGAATATAATTCAAAGAGACAGGATCAGAAATGATGATATCAGGAAAGACGTTGGGATGGAGCAAGTACTAAATTACACAAAGAAATCAAATGGTCTGTACATTTTTAAAGATTAAAATTCAGTAAGTATGTTTTTGTACTGTGTGAATTTTCAAAATATGTTTGAATCCCTTAATCAATGAAAGAATCAATCAATCAGGACCCAGCAAGCTGGATGTACAATCTCTCAAACTGCTGTTCATCCATCTCTTGATGTTATTCTTTCTCTTCTATCACTGTCTGCCTCTTGCTTACCTACCTGCCTTCAACATTTCCCTCCATTATGTTGTTATAAGGGTACATTTGAGTCAGTACATTTTATACAATCCAATAACTCTTGACTTTATCACTGCAGAAAGTCTTGTTGCTACCAGAAAAGTCATCACTGATTAGTCGACCATCCACCGCATCACTGAGTGAAGAAATTGCTATTAAGTTTAGTAACTATTTCGCAAGCAGAGAAAAGGTAATAGAACAGGTTTTTTTTCACATTTGGTTAGCATTTGTTGTTGTGGACTCTAAAAACATGCTGAGAAAGGTGAAGATAGGGAAGCTTCGAGCAGAGTGGAAAGCTCCACTGGGAAGGCCACAGGTAGTGAGCATACTTTAGATCTTTTCTCCAGGCCATGCCGGCATAGTGAGTAATTAACAGGCAGACAAATTGGCTGGATCTGCACCACTGGGTGGTGAATAGATACATGACAAGGCAGATGTGGTCAAGGTCCTTTGGGAGCAAGCAACGGAATCAGTAAAGAAACAAGATTATTATGGCCTTGAGAGAATGGTTATCCAGAGGGTCTGGCTGGCTCACTAGACTCAGACGGACATATAACCAGATTGTGACCAGTACCATCAGTACTGGAACTCTGTGCCGACTGCTGAACATGAGGAGGGAGCACACATGGGAATGCCTAGAGTGCTGTGATGTCAATTCTTGACTCAGCTCAACTCAACTCAACTTGTTGTTGAAATCTTTAGAGCATTATGATGGAAATCATTAGAGTAATACTTCTCAAAGGACTGTCTCTGACAATTAGTCTGTGTAATTAGGCATCTCCTTTACAGAACAAGGCCAGGCAGTTTTTACTTTCTTACTGACAGCGCACTTGATGTTCTGTAGTGGAATAGTTTACTTGACAAAAGAACCAATTGTATTGATGCCTAACTTTCATAGATCTTGATTTCACATTTTGCACTGAACCAATATTTAGGAAAATAAATTTTGGCTCCCAAGTCTACCTAGCATAAAATGGGTACCACATAATGTAATTCGGGGGGGTCGCTGTGGTGGTGGCTTGACGCCCGCCTGCAGATCGGAAGGTTGTGGGTTCGCATCCTTACACAACCGGATTTTTAAAAAAAAATGACTTTGACTCCCAGGTTGACCGAGCCTTGAGTTGGTACCAGGTGTAGTCCTGTGAAGTAAAGGCGGCCGGCGTGATGCTAACCACGTCACCCCTAAAGTGTTAATTGGTCTATACAAATATAGGTCTAGCCCAGTACGCCTAAAGGCATAGAAAAGTGACTTTTTATAATGTAATGGAAAGTAAAGATGGCTGGTTTGACGTTGACCACATTACCCTCAAGATCAGTTTATAAAAATATGAGTCTAGCAAACTATGCCCAAAGTGCCACAGGTGAAAGGGGTAATCTACTTACACAGACATCATTCGTAGCCTGTTTTCTCACTTTTGCCTGCTTTGTTTTTCTAGCAAATTCAAATATGCGAACCTTATGTGCCTAAACCAAGCATACTCTGAGAACCACTTTTGTCTGTGTTTTTTTTTTCTTTCTTTACATTTTCTTTTTTGTGCTTCTTCTTCTTAATCATTCTTCCAAGGGATGTAAGTGTGCCTGTTTACAGCCCAACTGCACTATCGGTACTTTTCAACTGACACATTTGACTTTTTCAGGCCAGAGCTGGGAGAATATTTTTGAAAATAGTACAAAATATTTGTGAAAAAGTTCTAAAACACACTAAAAGGTACCAAATTTTGAATATGCATGTGTGTGCGCGTGTGCACACACATTGAAAAAACAACAACTTGCTTCCCTTGTATTTGATCAGAGTTGAATTTCTTTTTCCATCACATCATTGCTGTGATGATAAGCATACCCAATTCCTTACGTCCTTATTAGGACGTAATTTTTTGTTATTTGAAGCCCCGCTCTGGCTTTTGCCAGGGGCCGCAATATAGGCAGGCCATCAATATGGCCAATTGTCTGAACGCGGTTTCTGGGACCTCTCCACGGTGATCCTCATCCGCATGGTGGCACTTTGTGTCATCGGGTGTTTATCGCTTGTGTGATGTCCTAGTGGGGTAGAAAGTCAGTCAGTCAGTCATCATCGCTGTAAAACAAAACATGTTGCTCAATTTGTTACAGTGCAGTTATTATTGAAGTCTTCAAAGAAGGGCAAATTTTAACAAATTTGTATGTTGTTAAGGAGAGAGAAAACTCTTTCTGCAGCTACATAGGAATCAGATAAAACCAAAAGACTATACATTTTTAACTAATGCAAGGCTAATTCCATCTCTACAGATTTCTTCTGAACATGTAAACTAAAATGTTGCATGTTGAATCCCCCCCCCCCCCCCCCCCAATCACCCTCCTCAATATTAGATAGTTCATCATGTGCTATTAGTTCTTTCCATCATCATTTACTTATTTGTTCATAATTGTTCATAATTTTCCTCTTCAACAATTTTAATGTAACTGACATCGATCTTCCTTCAGTAACAATAACTGGATTACCATACAGTGTACAAGTTTAAAATATTTAAACAAAAGTTCTAAAGTGTACCAAAACATTGGGCGTGGTACTAAAGAATTAATTTTTCGGCAAAATACGTACGAAAGTACCAACTTTGGCAGCCCTTCTTCAGGGCTATCTTGGTTAGCCTTCTTGGTTAGGACATTTGCAGCATCATATATTTGTTGACTTTGACATCTCCTGATCCACAAGTATTGTCCCTTGAGAATCCGCCCAGGGCATCTGCATGCAAATTGGTCAGCCTTCAAGGAAAAGCAGGGACAGAACATGGGTATTCCTGCTATCCAAGGAGGAGGCTGCCATAAATACAGAGCCTTTACAAGATACTCTGGCACTGGGCTCATGCAAGAAATTGTCATGTCCTGTGCATGGCTGCTTAACCACGTTTCTGCATATAGAGCCTTCCATTCATCCTTAAGAAATCCCCAGGAAACATTTTGCAGACCTGCAACTACAATTCCTGCACAAATTGGTATCTCACTTCCTCATTATGTTGAGACTTCTTTCTTTGACAGCTGCACCTTTCACATAAGTTGGGGTTCATACTGAGGGGAGGATCTGAGCACCTATGGACATGTCCGGAGTGCAATGAGGATAACCCAACTAACTAACTAACTAACTAACGAACTAACCTTTCACATAGATGCCACAGGGCACTTTTTGTTACATTTATGAGATTCCCTTAACTTTTCCTCACGACTTTCACCAAAATCACCACTCCACTTTCTTGTGTACTATTTGTATTGTATTGTCTTGAAAGGCAGCATTAAAATTTACTGTATTTTATATTTCATTGTTGCAGTGGTAAATAATTTTTTTGAAATTTTTGATGATAATTTTAAATTCACTTGATAAATTTTCCCAATGCAGAAAATTATGTTTGTCGCTGAATATAAGCAGTGAATGAAATCTACACACTTTTTGATAATACACATTGCTTTCATGCATTCATATATTTCAGAGCTTTGATGCTCCCATGGTGCTTGTAAACATTGACATAGACATTGAGAAGGTAAGAAATAGACCCAATGCAATGTTACAGAATATTTAGATTTCATAATATTTTATGAATCATTAAATGTAGTGGCTAGTTTACTTACACACCAGCACATGGACATATATTTTAGTCTCTCATTTTGGAAGAGTTTTGTTTTTGCCACCAGAAAGTTAATTCAACAACATTAATTTGCTGCCAAACATCTAAGTCAGTAAAGGCACAGGAAATATTGTCCATACAATACCGTTAGGCATATTGAATATATGATGCTAGCCACATAATTTTAGACCATTTTTAGGTTAAATTAGCTTGGAGAATTATATTTGAGAGCTGACTTGACTTTAGAGATGTTGACTTAATAATAAGTTTTAAAAAAATGTTGGTTTTATTCACAGATCTTAAATAGTGTAGAGAAAACTAATAATAAGTTCTACATATGAGACTAATAAAAAAGATCTGTTTTGGAAATGGTAAATGAAGTAGAAAGACAACATATTTTAAAATTTGAAACATTTCATTTGTTCCATTATAGCAACATACTTTGTCTTGCAGAATAAGCTGTACTGCATTATTGGACCATCAGACAGTGGAAAGGTGAGATATCTTCATCTATAGACTATTTAATTGTCTGTATTAAAGTAGTCATGTATTGACAACAACAATAAATGGGACAAATATGAAGCAATGTTTTCAGGTAGGTTGTCAACAGTGGATGGAAGATGTATTTTGCATGTTGAATGCATAATAACCTAAGAAAAAGCAATTTTACCAGATAAAGAATATCCTATGCTATAAACTTTTGTCAGTTGAAGTGAGAATTAGAACCCCTGAAAGCATTATAAAGTAGATCCTGATGTGTGAAAGGGAATCATATATAGTTGCAGAATAGGGAGAAATTTAGGTGGGAGCTGTAAAGATAGGGCTTTATAAAAGAATGACAAGAACATCGTGGACAACACAACATGTAGTGAGTTTATTTTACAATAAATTAACCCACAAAGAGAACTGGTTCCATACATCAAAAGAAGTAAATCCATTCTTTTGATACATTTTGAGAAGGGGAAAAACTGTCCTGGTTAGTTAGCATCCTTTGGATATTTTCTCCAGGTATGCCTGTGTGTTGGGAAATTAGAAGGCAGATAGACTGCCTGGTTCTGCACCACTTGGTGGTGAATTGATGTATGACAGGCTAGATGTTGTGAGGGCCCTTTGAGAGCAAGTTAACAGTGCAGAGGCATAGATAGATCATTACGGTCTGAGGAGAATGGCTTTGCAAGGAGTTACCAGAGGATCTGGCTGATGCTCAACACTCAAGGGAAAGCGGGAGATGGATATCCATTCAAACAGATACTAGAGCCATCAGAATTGGAACTTTTCGCTTGCTGCTGAAGATAGGAATGGAGCACTTCTAGGAGTGTTCTGAGTGCTATGATGTTGATCAATAATTCAACATTCAGCATTCTTTAAGGGAAAAACTGGAGTACATCATGACAACAGAAAAGTTGTAGGCCAAAAGTTCAGAGGAGACCAAGAAAAGATACTAACTTAACATCTGGCATTTGAAAAGATTTGTCTTAAAAGTAACTGACATATATGACACAAAAGGCTGTGGACAGATCAGTTAACTGGAGTACAAAATTCACAGAAAATGAGTGAAACTAAAAGATATTTGCCATCAATTAAGTGTTTGCAGAGAGTTTTTGACAGACAGTTTACATATCTTCTTCTTTCTTCTTTGCGTTCACCAGCTATAAACTCTGGCTGAAAGTTCTAGTTGTTCATCCGCTTTTAGTCTGCAGTCCTGTTCAAGAACCTGAGTGTTGCGTGTGCATTCGTTTTACAGATTTGATTCATTTGTATGCAGACTTCTGGTTCCCTGCCTCTCAGGCAGATGCATTCCGACTTCGAAGGAAAGACAGTTTACATAAATAATTATGAAATTGTACCAACATATAGTGATAAATATTCACTTTTTCATATTAGAGTAGTCTCCTGCTAGCAGTACTTGGTGAACTGGAGCGACACAAAGGTCACATCTTCTATGACGGTCATCTGGGGTATATCCCTGATAAACCTTGGCTGTGTCCTGGAACAATCAGAGATAATATTGTATTTGGATATGAATTCTCCCATTCAAGATACACTCAAGTCTTGGAGGCTTGTGCACTGAATCAGGTAAGCTAAAGTTGTAAAAAATGCAAGCATCAATGTGCTGTCAAATAGAACTTGACGATATTTTTTTCCTTTTAAATTAAATTTAAAGTCTTGCTAGCCAGTTAACCTACAAATCTATATGATGACCTTATAGCTCTGAAAGCATGATATGAATTGTGACAGGCAATTTTGAATATCTAGATCATGCTAAAATCGAACGCTTATCTCATAACACTGAGGTCACAAAATATAAAACATAAGACTAATTATCCTACATCATTCTAAAATTTGGACTTTGACTAAAAGAAACAAATCCTTATTATAAACTTTTTAAAACAGTCTTACATTTGATCTTTGGACTCATCAGAGATGTGAACATCCAGACATTTTGAGTAAGAAACAGCAATAAAATTCATAGTCTGTTTATATAACTACTTACTACTGGCATTATGACTATAATTAAATAAATAGTAAGTAGTAATTTCAATGGAGCCAAGCCGAGGTGGCATAGAAGCTAGAAATTTGCCTGATGACCTGAAGATATGGGTTCAAACCTGGATTGAGTGGGATTTTGTCCAGAATAGACCTTGATCCCCAGGTCGACTCAGTCTTAAATAGATACCAAGTAATATCCTGGGAAGTAAAGGAGGTCAACATGATTTGACATCACCCTTTGAGTGCAGATTGGTCTATAAAAATATGAATCAATCCTCATATGCCCAATTCACTACTGGTATAAATTTAGTCCTTAATTTTTTTCTGCATTTTTATACTTTTGTTGTTGTAGGTTATTGACTCTCTGCCTCTGGGTGACCAGACAGTTGTAGGGGAAAGAGGCCTTGCCCTGGACCCAAGTATGCAAGCTAAAGTCACACTAGCAAGGTGAAGTTGTATTTTATCTAAGCAGTTTTTGCTGAGACAACTAAATGGTATAGTAGTAGATATAGGTATATTTCTCAAAGAAAGATTACACAATGTGATTATCATAATTATATAAAAATTGGTTTGATTTGATTTGATTCAAGAACCGACATCACAGCACTCAGGGCATTCCCATAAGTGCTCCATCCCCATCTTCAGCAGCCAGCGAAGAGTTCCAATACTAATGGTGCCAGTAGCTTTCTGATTAAATGTCAGTCTTGCCTTTCCTCTGAGCCTTGAGCTTCTGCCAGAACCTCTCGTCACCCCCAACTGCATCAATCTCACCAGACTGTGGTGATCCATCTGCTCCTCCCCATTGTACACGCTCTCCCACAAAGCACTAACCACGTCTGCCCCATCATGTAGCAGTATTCCACCAAGTTGTGCAGAGCCAGCCAGTCTGTCTATCTGTTCATTTCCCAACACACCGGCGTAACCGGTGAAAAAATCCAGACAATACTCCTCACTCGTTTCCTCCGCAGCGAAGCATGCCACTCTGTACGAAGCACACCTGTTCTGAACTTCCTCAGTATGCTTTCTGAATCAGTTGCAATTACAATGTGTGTGTGTGTGTCGTGTTCTCTAGCCAGCGGAAAGCTGCAGTGACCGCCTCCACCTCCATTCTTAAGCTGGATGTTGTGGTATCATATGCTAGGCTCTGCTGCACCAAACGTCGACCATTAACTTTTGCTAAAAAGCCCCAAGCACTTCTTTTGCCTCTTGACACTTAACCGTCTGTGTAAATGATCAAATCCTCTAAGCGAGCATTATCTTGAACTAATTGCTGAATTTCCACCTCTGTGGCACCTGCTGGCCAGTCTCTGCATTCCCGGCTCAGCATGATTATGACTCTACACAAGTCTGACTGCTCAGGTGGCACTTTGACCCACTCCTCTCCTCCCCTAATGTTCTCAAGTATGCAAACCTGTCTGATTGTGTCTTCTGCCTGAGCCATCCATGACCTCCCTCTTATCAGCCACTGACCCTTAACTGCACCCAGAGCTTTATGCGGAGGGTGGTCTGTGTCTGCAGCTACCCTAGGATATGACTTCGCCTGCATCACCTTGTGCCTACCTGCAACCGTTGGAAAACCAAGGATGTATCTCATACACACCACTGGGGTGTCTCTGATGCAACCCAGAATGACCCGCATAGCCGCGTTCTGTATGCGCTATAGTTTGTCCATCTGACTCTTTGAGACGGTAAGCAGTCCCAGGCCATAATCCACCACTGACAGGATCAGGTGCTGATATAGTGTGAAAAGCATTCTCTGCTCTATGTCAATTGCCGCCATAGTCTTGAGTGCACTAAGTCCTTTTTGGCATCTCATCACATCACTCTCCACATGGTCCTTAAATGACAGGCTCCTGTCAAATGTAATTCCCAGATACTTCAGTTTGCTCTCTCTGTTGACGTCTCTACCATCTATCGTGAGACTTGGGACATTAGTTTTAACGATTCTGTTGTCCAAAGAACACCACAAAACAGACGCCTTTTCCGGGTGGACGACAGCCTTCATTTCTGTACACCACTCAGTCACTTTGTCTACTGTCGCTTGTAGCTATCGAGCTGTTTGTTCCCTCTCTTCCCCCTGCCTATATGCAAGTATATCATCCGCAAAAGGCAGTATCCTTCCAACTCCTGGTGCTTCTAGGCTTGCAATCTTGCTCGTATACTCGTTGAAGAGCACAGGCAAGATGGCGGATCCCTGTGGCAGTCCTGGGGCCAAAGTGCATGGTTCAGAGGTCCATGAGCCCAGTCGGAGAGCAACCCGACGTGAATACAGGACATCTGCAACCCAATTCACCAGCCATGGATTGACCTCCTTTTCCCTCAGTGCAGTCATTAAGATGTCGTATCTCACTCTGTTATAAGCATCCTCGAGATCCAGTCCTACCGCCATAGTTTCTTGTCTGTTCTGGAACCCTTCATAGACGTCAAAAGCAAAAGTGGCTGCATTTGCCCAAGTGTCTTTTCCTGGCCTGTAACTTCCCAGACCTCTCTGGAGAAGCTTCCCCCTTTCCAAAAATTCTTGTAACTTTACAGCAAATATCTTCTCCAAATGTGTATTTTAAGGTGATGATTCTAAAGCCACTAAGCTTAGAATGATCTTTAAAGGTTTTGGTAGTGGGATTAGATAGCTGTGCACCCAGTCTTGTGGTACTGATGCTGTCTTAATACTCTGGTTAAAACAGTCGGCCATCTCTGCCAGGTCTACATCGCTCAAAGCCTTCATGTGACCATACCTGACACCATCAGGCCCTGGTGCAGTGTCTTTTGCTTTTTTCAAAATTTGTTTGATATCTTCCACTTGTATCATGTCTTCATAATGCATATTCTTTAAGGTGCCAGCTAACTCCTTTCTAACTGCATTCCTGATGTCTACATCATTATGATCTGTCTGAGCAATAAACCTATGGAGAAAAGCCTCCCCTTTCTCCTTGTCTGTTGTCACACGCACACCATCGTCTCTACAAATTGTTCCGACTGTCATAGGCCTATCCTTTCTTTGCATTTGCCTTTGCAGTTTCCAGAATTTCCCCAATGTTTTATCGCCTCCCATGTCATTCACAAAAGTTTTCCACTTTGCTCTTTTGACCTCTGCAGCACAGGGCTTGAAAACCTCCACCTCATCTTTTTCACATTCTCCGCCATCTCCACTTCCTCTCGTAAGCTTGGAGGTGTCTGTCGTACTTTTTTTAGCTGATTCACTGTGGCTCTCTTTGCCTTCCATGCCTGTTCTACTTCTGGAGTCCACCATGGGGGCTGTCGAAAATTAGTTCTGGCAGTTCTTTTGCATGCTACCCGTCTGAGGCATCCAAGTAGGTTGTTGGTCCACTTTTACCGGAAGGTCTTGCGTGCTCTCCCAACCTTAACCTTACTGAGTTTAGAAATCAGACTGAACATGGTAGGTGATCACTCCCATGGTCATTCAGGACAGTCCATTTAACATCTAAAACCGACGACTGAGAGACAAATGTCAAGTCAATAGCTGTGTCTGCATCTCCAAACCTCATTGCCATTCTAGTCGGCCTCCCATCATTGATGCAGACCATATCGGAGTCAACCATGGCCTCTGCAAGAGCAATTCCCTGTCGGTTTTCTCCACTGCTGTCCCATTCTCTGTTCCTCGCTTTGAAATCCCCACATATGAGTAACCTATCACCTGGTAACTTCTCCAATTACTTGAGAAAGCTCCATTGTTCACTTCTGACAAAACAGTCTGCCGTGGCATATATATTTATGAGGTTCCAACTTAAGCCACCAATTTCCACTTGTATCCCTTGAACCTCTCGTCCACTGTGGTTCCACTGGCTCAAGTCAAGCACCACATGCTTCACTCCCTCCTTTACCACTAGACCTTGTCCATGTCTCTCCTGTCCAACAGGGTTTATATAACTGACGCACTCCGGGCAATGACATCTGTCTGTATGTAGCTCCTGGAGCATGATGACATCAAAATCAAAAATCAACCTCTCCAGTACAGGACCTCTCTGCCTAGCACTCTGACAGTTCCAGTATCCTACTCTTACGTGGTTAAAGCTCAATCTCTCCGCTTTTCGCCTTGTTTCTTCTAGCACCCGCCCTCCTATTTCTATGCCTTCTTCTCTCCCCATTTCATCATCGTCTCCTCCTCACTCTCCCTTCACTAACCGCTGAATAATGTGTCAAGCGCCGAGCACGTGCCCTGTAGCTCCGGTGACGATTCTTATGTATATTTTTTAAATCCATACGAAAAAATAGAGTACTGCAGGAAATGACTGGTTGCCCTAGTATTGCCTGCCTGCTAGGGAAGGGGCAATGGATGTCCTGTAGGAGTCCATACGCCTGGTGCTGCCCCGCACGCCCGCCAGACGTCCAACGTTCATGACCAGCTCACCCGTTGCCATCCAGTTTTCCTCAGCACGTTGGCCCACCTTGAACTTGGGGGTTTAAATTCAGAGTTTGCCGTCTCCTAAATGGACTGCTGTGCAAAGCTAACGGGTTCCATCTACCCAGACTTCTCCCAGAAAGAAGGCAACATTTTGCTAAATCCCATGGACGTTAGGAAACTTTGTGCACTCTTAAACATCTACTGCACTGTGAAGCCCTTGTTGACAAGACTCTTCCTGAAGTTAAATACACAGTTGATTTATTAAAAGGCTCCACCTTTGAATAGACACCACCCCAGAAATCACTGATGACGCCGCAAGGATAGCTACAAACTCCAGCTCGCCTGTTGTTTTTACCACAGCCAGTGTAACCAACGAGGCAACAAATAAAGAAACCTGATATCCTCAAGTATCCAGCGGTGAAAAACATTGCCGTCATGTGTTTGAACTGGTAAGAGGTTTAATTTAAGCGATGAAAACCGTTTGAATACGCACAGCTTTTGCCTTGAAATAATCAGGCTTTCTAGCGCCGCCATACCGGAAGTCTCTTTCATAATATAAAAGGTTCATAATATATAAAAGTTCACTAAAAATATATACAATTTTATAATCTAAACTCCTACAATCTGTTATAATCAGTACTTAATCTGTGTAGTATTAGATAGCTAGAAGTAATTCACAAGCATAAATATACAATATAAGAATTTTTTTTTAAAACATTTTAATTATAACCCAGATGGCTCAAACAGGATAATATTGATTAAATTACTATTACTGAAATCCTTTTCAGTGATCACCTTTCTCTAACAAGCAATAAAAGATAATGGTGAAGTAGTTATTTTAGTGTTTTGCAAAGATATAAAATATATGTATGTGCATGACTAGATGAGAAGTGTCTCTGTTATGTCTTAATTAATTTCACCATTTGTATTTCAGAGCTGTATATCAAAACTGTGATATTTATCTGGTGGATGATATTCTCAAAGGAATGGATGCAAAATCTGCAATGGACATTTTTAAGAAGTAAATTTGCTTTATTAATTTAAACAGTTGGGTCCAGTTTCCTGTAAAAGCCAGTTAGCCAACTTTTCTACAGTGACACATTTATGAGATGCGTAGCTAATGCTATTGGTTGTGTTTGCACCCACACAGTGTTTCAGAGGTCAGGAAATGAATATATTTACTAAAAAATAGAACGGGGTTGGGAGGGTTGGGGGTCTCCTTGTCAACCAAATGGCTTTTTAAAGTCATGCTGATGTCACAATCTCCTCATTGCCTCGGTGGTAGAGGTCATGGGGTCACAGCATGAATCACATGAGGCATGTGTTTTTTTCAAAGGCCCAGAGAAATGTTTTATTTATTACTGCCTTTATATATCTGTGTGTCTGTATTTGATTATCTTTCCCCTCTCCACCCAAAAATAATAATAATAATTTTAAAATGTATATATACCAAATTTTAAGATGAGTGAATAAAAAAACATTATTGGTGACCTGTGTAAAATGGTCATGATTTTTTCTTCAGTAATTCCCACCGGTTCTTATCCATTTTTCTTAGCATTCCCAGAGCAGAGGGTTAAGATACATCTCTTGACTGTTTCAGCCCCAAGGACCATGTAATATATATTTGGCTCTCTCCTGTAAACCTCACTCATGATGTAATGTGTTCACTTGTTGCATTTAGTCAAGCCTTTTGTGTTAATCCTCTAATAAATTTCTGATTTGTCATAGTTGTTATTTTCCCTGTGAATGTCTGCTGCAAAACCATATGGCAGCTGAAAGAGTTACAAAATTAATAAAAGCTAATATTATAAAATGCATAACTTAGCTTTTAGTTCCCCGTGTGGGTTCTGAGGCCCAGTGTGGGGAAAACAAGAATAGACCCACTGCCTGCCCAAAAGCATGTCAATAGAGTCAACTAATTGGGAGCTTCCTTTAAAGTTAGAGTACATCTGCCTGAGAGGCAATAAACCAACAGTCTGCATGCAAATGAGTCAGACCTGTGAAATGGATGTACATACAACACTAAGGTTCTGGAACAGGACTAGAGTCCAGAAGTGGACGAACAACCAGAACTTTCTGCCGGAGCTTACAACTGGTGAACGCAAAGAAGAAGAAGGTCATAGCTTTTAGTATGAATGAATTCATCAAGTTGTAAGTGTTTGGTTACTTGTTAAACATTGATGTTTCCTGATTTCCCCATGTGGGTTCTGGGGCACCAAATAAAAGAATAGACCCAGTACTCCTAAACAAGCTTGTTGTAAAAGATAACTAATTGGGAATTTGCTAAAATTGTATGTGTTCGGCACATCTACCAAATGGCACAGATACTGCAGCCTGGCTGTAAACCACAACACAACAGGCAAACTACCTTTTTAGGGGTGAACGCAGAAGAAGAAGAGGGAAAAAAAGACCAAAAAAAAGAAATGTGTTATTTAATAATTTATTTGAAACATTGCCTGTGTAAAGATAATGTTATACATTAGAGCATTCCAGTTCTGTTTCATAAAAAATATGCTTCAAATTTAGGACATTACATACTTTGTGTGTGCATCATTTTAAATATTATGATAAATATTGTTAACTCTTTTAGTCCCAGTGGATTTAGCATTACATACCCAAGTGAAAGTAAAGAAAGGCATAACATTGGCGCAGCATGCATCAATTGGGCTTCTAGGAAGAAACCTTTGAATGTATGAGGCGTTCCTTGGGACTGAAAGAGTTAAATATGTAAAATCATAAAATCTCCTGTTCAGTAGAAAAAATATTGGCTATCCACCAAACTTCGAACATTAAAGATGGCCCCACCGCCACGAGTCCCCCACGCCGCGTGAGCGGCAAGGATTGGGGCTAAACTAGATGGCTAAGACCCACGAGCAGCAGCTTCTGCATCTCCTGAAGCTTTGCTCGTGAGTCCTAGCCATCTAGTTTAGCCCCAATCCACACCACGTGAGATGCATGTGGGACTTGCGGAGGTGGCGGTAGTTGCCGAAGAACTGCAAATTAAGTCACGTGACTGTGGCTCGAAAGGATATTTTGCGGCCGCCATCTTTAGTGCCCGAATAGCCAAAATATTTTAAGTAAAAGACTCCTTGTCATAAAGAATATTGGGTGTCTGGTGCCAGTCCCATATTCTGAGACCAGTTGACACTCAGCAGGTGAACTTTCAATGACATTTCCATGAAATTATACATATTTTTTAGCCTGGGTTAACCTGGAAACTAGGGTAAATGAAAAACACTTCACTTCATAGAGGATCTGAATATTCAATCACTGGGGCTGACAAGCAGCTATTCTGGCAGCTGCATCTTCTGAATGCAGAACATAAAAATAGGTAGCATAAGAACACCAAATGCTAGTAATATCTGCGTTTGTGCATGGGTATGTGAATGTGTATGTGTCTCAGAGTGTAATGGTCAAATGAGATCGTATGTTCTGTAACTTTGTACAGGTGCATCTGTGGACTCCTGAGAGCAAAGACAAGGTTGCTAATAACTGACAACACTCAGCATATCAGAATGGCCCATAAAATCATACTGATGTCACAGGTAATTTAGCTCAACCAACATAGTCAGTTGAGTTTTGAATTAAGAATTGACATCTTAGCACTCAGGACATATGTGCCTCATCCCCATTTTCAGCAGCAAGTGAAGAGTTCCAATTTTGATGGTACCAGTAAGTGTCTGACTGTATATCCATCGCGCCATTCCCTTGAGTGTTGACCAGATCCCCTGGTAACTCCTTGCAGCGCCATTCTCCTCAGACTGTAAAGATCTATCTGTGCCTCCCCACTGTTCACTCACTCCCATCTAGCTTGCTATACATCAATTCACCAATATATGGTGTAGAACCAGCCAGTCTATCTGCTTGTTCATTTCTCAGCACACCTGAAGAAAATATCTGTAGAATGCAACTACCCGGGACCTCTAAAGTGATACTTGCCATTCCACTGATGCAGCAGCCACTTTAAGCTACCTCTACGGATTGTTTCCATGAGAAGCTAGCTAAGCTACCTCTACTGATTGTTCCCATGAGAAATTGGCTATAGTTTCTCCTGTTTTGGCATTCGAGATTATAGATGTGCTTCACCAAGCTTTACTCCCAGGTCGCCAAATGATATTTTAGTATTTACTACAGGTAGCTGCACGACTAGTACAGTTACTGGAGTGTGAGGTGTTTGACCTTGGCATAATGAAATAGTGTGGCAAGTTCCCCTGTTTCACAATTTTTCTTTCCAAAACACATTTCTAGAAGATTCTGAATATCTTATGATATTAATTTTATGAGGCATTAAATTACATGTATTACAAGAGATGAGTTCAAGAAAGGTGAAGAAATAAGACAACACGTCCAGGCAACTACTAATATCAAAAGATTAAAAAAAACCAATTGCAGTATACTAAGCATATCATAAGAAGGGAACAGTTAAATACCGAACAGCCATGTAAACAGGAAACAAATGAATTGGGGGAAACAACCATTTAAATAGGAAACAAATGAATTGGGGGAAACAACCATGTAAACAGGAAACAAATGAATTGGGGGAAACAACCATTTAAATAGGAAACAAATAGACTGGGAAAACAAGGATGTCCAAAAGAAAACCTACAATGAATATTAATGAGATAGGCCATAGGTGCTGCACAGGATTCCATCTGTAATAATGAAACAATTACACAGGAGAGAAGGGAATGAAAGAATAGAGGGCAAGCTCTACGTGATGCACTGAAGAATGATGATGATTTATGAGGTTTGGTCATCCCCAGAACGATGCTGTCCAGAAAAACAAACAAGCATACCTCTTCTGCAGATTCAGCTCAGATTAATTGCTCCATTAGAGCTGCAGTATAAAATGGGACAGTACATTTTCATGTGAGCAATTTTGGCAGGTGTTTCAATACTACTTGAATCTGAAATATAGTTTTGAGAATTTTGAAATAGTTTTTCTATCCTTTATCATTAAAGGTTGAGTATTTTCAGCTTATGTTGATGTGTAAACGTTTGTAATATTGGTGCAGTATTTATGATTTCTGTCTAGTTCAATACGGTGGTGGTAGAAAGTGATTAAAATAGGCTCCAGTTTGAATAATGGAAAGACAGAAGTAGTGGTGATTTCCAAGAAAAGAATAGCACCTAAATGTATAATAAAAGTCAAAGGCTGAGCAATATCTTTAGGCCTCAGAGATGTGGTTTTACAGAAGACTCCTTAGAATTACTTGGACAGCTAAGAGCTGCCCAGATGTTTTGAAAGAGGCAATTGCTCGAAGACAACTTATCACAGACATCACAGAAAGTCACATATCTTATTTCTATTATTATTAAATCGAAATAAAACATCTAGTTTATCATCAATGATGCCAATCATATTGTTTTCATTATTACGTTTTCCTCTTTTTTTTTTGTATTTTCATAAGCAGTGTCGAGTACATCAGTTTGGTGGTTACAGTGAATTACTAGAATGTGGCGTGGACATCAACAAACTTCTGACCTCCAGGTCCTACAAGAATGTAGAGGTCAGCAGACTTGCTGACTCCAGCACTCCACTCATCCAGGATCTAGCTGCAGCCAGTTTAGCTCTGAGTTCAAGCTCCAACCCCCTGACAACTGGAAGCAAAGACAGCCCTGCTGGTTCAGCATTTGACATTCTTCAAGCAGATTTCAAGGTTTGTTACACAAGTGCTGGCATGTATCCTTCCAAAGCTGAACTGATTTAAACAGTAACATGTATTTGAAGTTAACTTCTACATGAGATTTTCCTTGTTCAAAGGATAAAGAGAGTTACTCAGGTAGTTAAACAGTACATCCTAACTTCACACAAACCATTGAGTCTGTAAGTGCTTGGATCCCTCCTCAGTATATCTGTGTGGCATCTACTACATGAGTTATGTGTTGGTTTTGTACGTTTTCTTGGCCTCTTGCCTAACACTCTTCACTCCTTTTGACTTGCAGTTATTGCAGTCTGGTAAAGTTTTGCAAATTAAGGGTGACCACTTGATCCTTTAGTCACTCTGCCTCTTGAACTTGCCAGGCAACTACCTCAAGTGTGGTTGATTGACTGCACCTTTCCATCTTTCTAGATGATAGTGTTATATCGTGCTATGAGGAGGTATGGCACTCACAGTCCATGGTGACCTTTCCATCTTTCTAGATGATAGTGTTATATCGTGCTATGAGGAGGTATGGGACTCACAGTCCATGGTGACCTTTCCATCTTTCTAGATGATAGTGTTATATCATGCTATGAGGAGGTATGGCACTCACAGTCCATGGCGACCTTTCCATCTTTCTAGATGATAGTGTTATGTTGCACTATGAGGAGGCATGGGACTCACAGTCCATGGTGACCTTTCCATCTTTCTAGATGATAGTGTTATGTTGCACTATGAGGAGGCATGGGACTCACAGTCCATGGTGATGGTGAGTGTGACTTGTAAGACCTGCCCGTGTTAAGAAGAGTCTATCACAATTAGAGCGTCTGATTTCAGGACCGTTGTCAACATTTGTGTTTAGTGTGTTTCTTCTCAGACGCTCAGCTCTTATCCTTTCTGCAGTCCTTTCTTCCTTCATTCTCATTCCCTTCCTGATGTGTTCTCACCACACAAAATGGTGGGACATTTTGTTCTCACGAGTCCGCCTCAATACCTGTATCATTCATGTCCCGCTAGCTCACATCTTTTAATCATAGTAGAGTATCAACATTTTCTACCCATCTTTAATTCACCATCGAGGGTGTCCTTAGGGACTCTACCATGCTCCATTCTCCAGGTGTGACCCAGCCACCTGAACATTCTTAGACTGAGCATTGAGAAAGCTTTCCAGTACATCATTGTTTGTGATCTTGTCCCGCCACTTAATGCCAAGTATTCTTCTTAGACATTGCATGTGAAATCTATTTAGCGATTTCTCCTTGTGTGAATAAGTTGACCAGGTTTCACTGCCATGAAGCAGAATGCTGAGAAGACAAGCCAGGTAGACAAGAGTTTTTGTTTTAATACCTCAAGCATAACCATGGAGATAACCTCTATGCCCAGATTACTCACATTCAGAAGTCACATTTAACCTTCATCACCTGAATCTACACACATGGGCATGATGAAGTTATAGGTGAGGAACAAGTAGATGAGCTTTCAAGTACTGCACCACTGCATGCTGGAAGATGTACAGACAGAGCTGATAACTGTACACACTAGGTTTGAGATAATCATGAGTCTCTGATGTTAACATGATCCCATGATTTGGAATGAAGCCTGATGAAGCACTTCAAAGCTGTCCTCGAGGTAAAGATAGGAGACACTGTTACCAACCGCTCATGTGAACAATCAATAGAGGTACTTCAGGACCTGGTCACTTAACCCAGTGCTCATTTGTTTAAAGAAAATAATTAAAGGGGAGAGGATCAACTTTAATGCATTGGGATTTTATCAGATCTGGATTGATTGCTGTCCACATTGTGACTTGTCATGTGTCAAGAGTGGTGCAGAAAGTCTGAACACAGTTGGGTGCATTAACCCTCTGGGATATCTGTCTCTTCTAGTTACATTTAGAAGTATATATTTACATGCCAATATTTCAGGAGTCTGGTGACCCACTTATCATCGGAGATGGGGACAGCAATCATGGTGGGTCCATGAATAGCAGATCAGTGTACACAACCTACTTTCTTCTTGGAGGTGGAGTCTGTGGAATCATTTTCTTCGCCTTGACTTGTCAGCTAGAGCAGGTAATTAAATAATGAAGAGTGAACTATAAATAATACACACACAGTAATGTTTATCTGAAAACAGGACAGTTAGAGGTAGGTCTGTTACAGTGTCAGTGACAATGAATAAGTCTTCCTCTTCAGGACAGTTAGAGGTAGGTCTGTTACAGTGTCAGTGACAATGAATAAGTCTTCCTCTACAGGACAGTTAGAGGTAGGTCTGTTACAGTGTCAGTGACAATGAATAAGTCTTCCTCTACAGGACAGTTAGAGGTAGGTCTGTTACAGTGTCAGTGACAATGAATAAGTCTTCCTCTTCAGGACAGTTAGAGGTAGGTCTGTTACAGTGTCAGTGACAATGAATAAGTCTTCCTCTGCAGGACAATTAGAGGTAGGTCTGTTACAGTGTCAGTGACAATGAATAAGTCTTCCTCTTCAGGACAGTTAGAGGTAGGTCTGTTACAGTGTCAGTGACAATGAATAAGTCTTCCTCTGCAGGACAATTAGAGGTAGGTCTGTTACAGTGTCAGTGACAATGAATAAGTCTTCCTCTGCAGGACAATTAGAGGTAGGTCTGTTACAGTGTCAGTGACAATGAATAAGTCTTCCTCTAAAGGACATTTAGAGGTAGGTCTGTTACAGTGTCAGTGACAATGAATAAGTCTTCCTCTACAAGACAGTTAGAGGTAGGTCTGTTACAGTGTCTGTGACAATGAATAAGTCTTCCTCTTCAGGACAGTTAGAGGTAGGTCTGTTACAGTGTCAGTGACAATGAATAAGTCTTCCTCTGCAGGACAATTAGAGGTAGGTCTGTTACAGTGTCAGTGACAATGAATAAGTCTTCCTCTGCAGGACAATTAGAGGTAGGTCTGTTACAGTGTCAGTGACAATGAATAAGTCTTCCTCTACAGGACAATTAGAGGTAGGTCTGTTACAGTGTCAGTGACAATGAATAAGTCTTCCTCTGCAGGACAGTTAGAGGTAGGTCTGTTACAGTGTCAGTGACAATGAATAAGTCTTCCTCTGCAAGACAGTTAGAGGTAGGTCTTCTTCTGCAGTCTGCCATCACCTAATGGAGTATAGGACCTCATCCATCACATCAAGCTTTTTTTTTGATTGGTTGACAAGCTAGATGTTGTAAGGGTCATTTGTAAACAAGTGAACAGTATGGAGGCACAAATAGGTCACCACGGTCTGAAGAGAACAGTGCAGTGAGTGCTGACCAGGGGTCTGGGCAACACTCAGGGAAGGGGCAAGAGGGACATACAGTCAGACTGTTACTTTTACCATTGGAACTGGAATTCTGTGCTTGCTGCTGAAGATGGGGACAGGGCGCTTATAGGAATAACCTGTTTGCCATTGTGACGGTTCTTAACTCATAACAGCGTTTGTTTGGATTTTGTGGCTATAGTTTTGTCTGGCATGATGCAGCCAATCTCTATTGAACGTCCCATCACCTATGACATGCATGGTAAGTTACAGTATTACTGACCTTTGATACATGTACAAAAAGCTGCAAAACATTTACGTGCAGCAGAGATGTGGTTTTTGAGAAAAATGCAAAGAATATTCCAGAGTGATAGAAAAACAAACCAGTCCTCATTGAGATGAACAAAAGTTGTAAACTTGGACAAATTAGACGCAGCCTGTGCATTTTTTATTTTATTTTGAAAACATGTTATGAGAAGGAGTGGACTCAAGAACTTTTAACAACTGGTAAGATGGATCAAAAGAGAGTAAGAGGATTGCAAATAGATAATAACCTGGATAGCTTGGTGACATGGATGGGTGACTCAAGATCATTGACCAGATCTGTGATTCTGGTGATTGTGTGAGATGATAAAACATGACAGCCTATACTTACCAGCATGCACATAATGATGATAATGACTGTCCTGTACAGCCTTTACAGGCTGCAGTAACATATTCACAAAATTTATTGGGGGCGAGGGGGGGGGGGGGGGGGGGGGGGCTTAGAAGTTAACAATGTAACAAAATAATACAGTCTGAAGATAAAATGGGTTCCTCGAAAAGATCAAATAATAGTTAAAATATTTAACTAAGAATGCAAATGAAAGTTGATGATAATGATGTTCAACCCTACCAGGACATAATCACACCAAGCGATAAACACCCGGTGACACAAAGTGCCACCATTCAGATGAAGATCACCCGGGGACAGGTCCCAGAAACACTGTTTAGCCAATAGGTTGGGTTATATTAGGGCCCACGGCAACAGCTGGAGTGGGGCTTTGCAACAGCAACAAACTGCGTCCAACATTGAGACCCACAGTTTTGAAAAATGAAGGTTTCTTGCGGTGTGTCCTGATTCAAATTTTTGTCTACTCAAATTCTGGGTATATTTGTTTGAATATTACCTCTGACTATTAAATAGTACATTTATTTTAAGTGTTGATGATAATGGATTATAAATTATAAGTGTTATGTGGAGTAGACTTTAAGTATAATTTTCAAATAATTGGGATAATTGGATTGCACTGTCTATTTGTGTGCATATTTAAAGTGATCTTCATAATGCTTCACAGTGGTGTGGTGCTGGGTTTGATTACTGACTGACTGACTTTCTACTCCACTAGGACATCACACAAGCGATAAACACCCGATGACACAAAGTGCCACCATGTGGATGAGGATCGCCATGGAGAGGTCCCAGAAACCACGTTCAGACAATTGGCCATATTTATGGCCTGCCTATATTGCGGCCCCTGGCGAAAGCCAGAGTGGGGCTTCAAATAACAAAAAATTTCGTCCTAAAAAGGACGAAACTGGATTGACTTGATTAATGAATGATAAGGGTTTGATCCCAGCTAAGGCAGATTGGCAGCTGACCGTCTTGCATTAGTTTTAACTATGGCATCAAGAGTTGACCATTCAGTAAGCAATGGCAATACTACTGAATGTCAGTTGGAAATTTGAAAAACCACAACACCTAAAAATAAATGCTGGGGTTGGCTCTGCAATGTCCTGTAAAGGTTATACAATTATCTCACTTATGAGGTATTTTTATGCACATGATATCAGCAAACCTTTGCACTTCACTTCATAGGAAATAAATCAGATCTAAGGGACATTATCTTCCTGAGAAGCTATTCCTAGTGTTGTCAAACTCTTAACATACATGTATTCTATTTTATAAATAAATCTGTTTACAAAACATTTAGAAGGTATTTTACTTTGCCTGGCTTTATTCTTGGTTACAAATGTAGCAAGTCATTTATAAGGTAAAAATCAGCATTTTTATTGTAAACATTTTGTTTCAGGGAAGCTTTATTCTCTGTGAATGGTGGCTTGCATTTTGGTAAGTGCTGCTGGATAAGGTAAACAACAAATATAAATTCTAATAAGGCAACTAAGAACTTGTTTTGATGAAAAACATCTAGTAAGAACTTGTTTGGGCCTATTTTCTATCAACAAATGGCATATGAGAGAGTTACAGTCAGAATAACAGTTACTATCTTTATCTTAGTGTAAATAGCTCTAAATGCATTTCCTCCCCCATAGCTCCGGCCTTCAACGAAAGCACAAATAAAGGAATGACTAAGGAATCAGGCAGCCTGGCTGGTTCAGCACCATTGATACATGACAAGCTAGATGTTGTAAACAGTGGAGATGAGCACCATTGATACATGACAAGCTAGATGTTGTAAACAGTGGGGATGAGCACCATTGATACATGACAAGCTAAATGTTGTAAACAGTGGAGATGAGCACCATTGATACATGACAAGCTAGATGTTGTAAACAGTGGAGATGAGCACCATTGATACATGACAAGCTAGATGTTGTAAACAGTGGGGATGAGCACCATTGATACATGACAAGCTAGATGTTGTAAACAGTGGAGATGAGCACCATTGATACATGACAAGCTAGATGTTGCTAACAGTGGAGATGAGCACCATTGATACATGACAAGCTAGATGTTGTAAACAGTGGAGATGAGCACCATTGATACATGACAAGCTAGATGTTGTAAACAGTGGGGATGAGCACCATTGATACATGACAAGCTAGATGTTGCTAACAGTGGGGATGAGCACCATTGATACATGACAAGCTAGATGTTGCTAACAGTGGAGATGAGCACCATTGATACATGACAAGCTAGATGTTGTAAACAGTGGAGATGAGCACCATTGATACATGACAAGCTAGATGTTGCTAACAGTGGAGATGAGCACCATTGATACATGACAAGCTAGATGTTGTAAACAGTGGAGATGAGCACCATTGATACAGGACAAGCTAGATGTTGCTAACAGTGGAGATGAGCACCATTGATACATGACAAGCTAGATGTTGTAAACAGTGGAGATGAGCACCATTGATACATGACAAGCTAGATGTTGCTAACAGTGGAGATGAGCACCATTGATACATGACAAGCTAGATGTTGTAAACAGTGGAGATGAGCACCATTGATACATGACAAACTAGATGTTGTAAACAGTGGAGATGAGCACCATTGATACATGACAAGCTAGATGTTGCTAACAGTGGAGATGAGCACCATTGATACATGACAAGCTAGATGTTGTAAACAGTGGAGATGAGCACCATTGATACATGACAAGCTAGATGTTGTAAACAGTGGGGATGAGCACCATTGAGACATGACAAGCTAGATGTTGTAAACAGAGGGGATGAGCACCATTGAGACATGACAAGCTAGATGTTGCTAACAGTGGGGATGAGCACCATTGATACATGACAAGCTAGATGTTGCTAACAGTGGGGATGAGCACCATTGAGACATGACAAGCTAGATGTTGCTAACAGTGGGGATGAGCACCATTGATACATGACAAGCTAGATGTTGCTAACAGTGGGGATGAGCACCATTGATACATGACAAGCTAGATGTTGTAAACAGTGGGGATGAGCACCATTGATACATGACAAGCTAGATGTTGTAAACAGTGGAGATGAGCACCATTGATACATGACAAGCTAGATGTTGTAAACAGTGGAGATGAGCACCATTGATACATGACAAGCTAGATGTTGCTAACAGTGGGGATGAGCACCATTGATACATGACAAGCTAGATGTTGTAAACAGTGGAGATGAGCACCATTGATACATGACAAGCTAGATGTTGCTAACAGTGGGGATGAGCACCATTGAGACATGACAAGCTAGATGTTGTAAACAGTGGGGATGAGCACCATTGAGACATGACAAGCTAGATGTTGCTAACAGTGGGGATGAGCACCATTGATACATGACAAGCTAGATGTTGTAAACAGTGGGGATGAGCACCATTGAGACATGACAAGCTAGATGTTGCTAACAGTGGGGATGAGCACCATTGATACATGACAAGCTAGATGTTGTAAACAGTGGGGATGAGCACCATTGAGACATGACAAGCTAGATGTTGCTAACAGTGGGGATGAGCACCATTGATACATGACAAGCTAGATGTTATAAACAGTGGGGATGAGCACCATTGAGACATGACAAGCTAGATGTTGTAAACAGTGGGGATGAGCAACATTGAGACATGACAAGCTAGATGTTGCTAACAGTGGGGATGAGCACCATTGAGACATGACAAGCTAGATGTTGCTAACAGTGGGGATGAGCACCATTGAGACATGACAAGCTAGATGTTGTAAACAGTGGGGATGCACAAACAAATAGATTTTAAGAGAATAGTGTAATGGGGAGTGACCAGGGGATCTAGCCAACACTCAGAGGAAAGGCCAGATGGTCACACAATAAAACTGCTGCTGGTACAGTTAGAACTATAACTCTTTGCTTGCTGCTGAAGATAGGGACAGAGCACTTGTTGAACAGTTCCGAGTGCTGTGATGTCAGTTGTTGAATCAGTTCTTGATGCTTTTTTATGAGCTATCAAATGTACATACCAGTAGGCATCTCAGACTATAAAAAATGAAACTTTCTGGAGAACTACATTAGGAATAACTTATACTGAAGTTAATTTAATGTAATTAATAGGAAAAGTTTATCAATTCTATGAAATGTCAAATGCTGTTTGGTGTTTTGTTTAATTAAACATACTAAAACTATATATATAAAATTTAAAAAGAGAAAGTATTTTATTTGTTATTTACATTTTAAAATAAAATTACTATTTTCTTAACATTTCAGCTTGAAGGTAAGATATGCTTGAAAAAAATGTCATTGTTTATTTACTGTAAAAAACAGTTGGCCAAACAATCAGGCACAATGGCAGTCCAGGCTGTCAAGACAGTTTTAACTCTTTTAGTACTTAAGGGTTTCAAGAGACATCAGAGTTAAGAAATAATCATGATGGAAAAAAATCATAATTGCATTACTTTTAAGTGTCAATATACATACTGATAATGACCATAGAAAAAGCCAGATTTTTGTAGTATGTTCTGACCAAACATTAAAAATAGAGAGCACATTATGCTATGAAGAGAAAAAAAGTGGTGGAATCACTCACACATCATATGTTGCTTGAAACTTTAAGAGTTAAAGACTTGTCTCATGTTTATTTACATTTTGTAATCAGAAATTAACACTGTCAATAACTATATTTCTTACATTCTTTATTCAGGGCTGAGAATTATCAAAACACCAGTGCCACTGTGTTTGAAGACAATGCACTGCTTGGCCAGGCAGCCACCTACCTTGACTACCAAGTCTATATTTACATTGGCCTTGTTTGTCTGACGCTGGTACTGGGCTATCTTCAAGCTGTGATATTCTATGCTATTGCACAACATGCTGGTCGGTTACTCCACGACATGGCCATTGGTTCCTTGCTGCAGGCTCCCTTGGCATTTTTTGATGCTAATAGTAGAGGTAAATTTATCTTTGACATCAGTCAATATAAAATATTCTTTCCTCATTTTAAATCTGAAAAATTTAAGAAGAAAAAAAAAAGAATTGATTGGACAGATTATTACCTGTGAAATGTAACTGTATCTTATCAGGTGCATATGACAGTAAAAATTGAAAACAAAGGAAAAAAAACAGATTATTTTTATCTGAAATACAAAAACAACTGCCCTCAAAAGTAAATTGTAAAAAGAAATTTTCATCAACCTGCAATAGCCTTGATAAAACAGTCATTTACTTGTGAGGATTGTTCAATTAACTACAAATTTAAACTGTGGGTAGTTCTGGAGGCAGTTGGGGGCTACTGTAGCACAGCGTTTTGATGCTGGGCAGTTGGGACCTACTGTAGCACAGCGTTTTGATGCTGGGCTTGCAATCTGCAGGCAGTGGTTTTTTATACACAACCTGAGCTGCCCGGCTGACACAGCCTAAAATGGGTATCACGCAATATCCTCTAAAATAAAGGTGGCTGTTGCTCTGTCTCTGAAAAACTGCATTAATAACTAAGGAACGGTGAACTTGTGTTTAAAAGTGTATATTGACCAATCTATCCTACATTGTCCTTTCAGGTGGAGTGCTGAGTCATTTTTTGCGAGATGTTGGTATAGTTGATTCTTTGCCACCAGTTCTGCTAGATTCATTACAGGTAATACTTGATTATAACGTTAAATAAATGTGTGTTTATGGAGGAACATTGGGACGAAGGGTCCTCAATGATTTAGTCCTAACTCAGTATTTTTTTAAATTTTTTATTATTCTACAGTTTATTATTATTGATTTCTTCACTTTTCATTAATGATTTTTCATTAATAAAGTTGTTTAATGTATGTCATTTTATTGTCAGTCTTTCAGTGTCCTCATAGCCACAGCTATACTTGTTGGATGTATTAACTACTGGCTGTTCATCATCATTGTACCATTGGTGATTCTTTTTGTGTGGGCCAGAATCAGATTTCATAAAGCCACACAGGATGTGGAGCGCATTGAGTTAGCATGTATGTACCCATGTATGTTCTTGTGTTTCATAAAGATTAAATAAGTGCAGTAAATTTGAACTCCAAAGAGCTCCCATTAATAAATATATGATCCACAGCAGCAATTAATCTGTGACAATAGATAAAATGCGGGGAGTAGATGGCTGTAGAATACTAAGTGGAAGACTAAACAGTACATCACAAAAACAAGAACAGGGGCTAGCATAGGAACTGTTAATGTATCTAAAGACAGAACAATAGTATCCCAGATCACTTTTGATATCCGCAAAGAGAGACAACACAATAAAATTACTATAATTGTTTAAATGTGCACTTCAAATAAATCAAGCTTGACAATCTTCTTTGTATACCCCTACAGTCTCATACAATTGATATATAAGTTATGCAGTATTGAAAAACCAAAATAACTGATAGGCATAAATATCCGTTATTGAAATAGAAAAATCTCTATATATCTGAATTATAACCAGGATGGGTTGAACAGGTTTTTACTACTACTACTACTACTACACTACTCCTTTCTAGTAGCCCAAAGAACTGCATAGGGAAGAGTGAAATGAACAACTATTTGTGCCCTGTTTTGTGTATAACTGCATCACAGGATGATGATAATAATATATTAACCAAAGAAACTCTTAACTGAACCAGAGATTTGCTTTCAGCTAATTGGCAAACTATAAACATGAAACCTGTTTCTGTGTATGAGAAGGTTGTAAAACCAGAAAATAATACATGCAGCTGATTAAAAAACTATGTGAAATAATAATAAATAATTAAAAATGTAACTTAAGTCAAATATTAAAAAGGCTAAAAATCTGAACATGTCTTTGTTGTATCTGCAGAGCTGAAAGCAAACAAAGAATGCTTCCCATTTTGTTTTGCTTCAATTGCCGGTAAAATAGATGTATTACCCTGGATATATATATTAACACAACAATAATCATAAGTACACATACAAAAAGACACTGAAGATCAAAGCTTTTGCATGAAAAAAAAATATATATGTATATATGTGTGTGTGTGTGTGTTTATATATATATATATATATATATATATTATATATATATATATATTATATATATATATATATATATATATATATATATATATATATATATATATAAAAACAGTGTTACCAGACAAAGCTAGTGGCTGACACAATCAGACAGGTTTGCATCCTTGAGAACATTAGGTAAGGAGTGGGTCAAAGTACTAACTAAACAGTCAGACTTATGTAGGGTCATAACCACACTGAGGCGGGAATGCAGAGACTGGCCAGCAGGTGCCACAGAGGTGGAAATTCAGCAATTAATTCAAGATAATGCTCGCTCAGAGGATTCGATTATTTACACAGAGGGTTCAGTGTCAAGAGGCAAAAGAAGTGCTTAGGGTTTCTTAGCAAAAGTTAATGGTCGACGTTTGGTGCAGGAGAGCCTAGTGTTTGATACCACAACATCCAGCTTGAGAATGGAGGTGGAGGCGGTCACTGCAGCTTTACACTGGAAAGAGAACATGGCCACACACACATTGTGATTGTAACTGACTCAGAAAGCATGCTGAGAGAGGTCAGGACAGGCATGCTTCACTGCAGAGGACATAGGTCAGGAGTATTGTCTGGATTTTTTCTCCCGGGTACAGCGGTGTGTTGGTGAATGTACAGGCGGACAGACTGGCTGGCTCTGCACAACTTGGTGAAATACTGATGCATGATAAGGCAGACGTGGTTAGTGCCTTGTGGGAGAGAGTGTACAGTTCGGAGGAGCAGATGGATCACCACAGTCTGGTGAGATTGATGCAGCTGGGAGTGATGAAGAGTTCTGCAGATGCTCGAGGCTCAGAGGAAAGGCAAGACGGATGTTTATCAAAATGCTACTGGCACCATTAGTATCGGAACTCTTTACTTGTTGCTGATGATGGGGACGGAGCGCTTATGGGAATGCCCCGAGTGCTGTGATGTCGGTTCTTGAATCAAATCAAATCAAATCAAAGCTAGTGACTGCAGTAGTGTAGTGGCTAGATGCCCGCCTGCTAGTCTTAAGGTCTTGGGCTTGAATCTGCACAGAGCCACATTTTTTTCTTTTAAAACTGACCTTGTCTCTCAGTTTGACCTATCCATAAATAGCTTCAAGGTAATGTTTTGGAAATTTAAGGCATCCAGCATAATATTGACCACCTCTCCCACTGAGTACTGATTGGTCACTGAAAATATTAGTCTAACATCATATGCCTGATGTGCAAACAAAAAGGTCTTGACCTGACAGACAAAGCCACACATCAGCCAAAATTTACATTGATCTATCATCATCATGTAGCAGGTCCTTTGTAAAACTTTGCTGTTTCATCACTGTCTGCCTGAAAGAAACTTGGTCAGTCATCAGCTCTCCCACCTCCTACACTTTTCAACCCATGGTGTTATTTATATCCAGTGCCCATACCCATTATCATATTGGTCAGCCCCTGCCCCTCTTTCCTGGTACCATGCCTTCTGCTAATATTTGTTTTCCAAACAGTCACGGCTATGGATGTGGCTAAAATATTTCAGTTTCTAAGACAAGATGCTATTTACTAGCCAGTCTTCCAGGATGTTCAGATCACACTGGATATGATGTCAGAATTTCTTTTCTTTTTTGTGGTATTATTCTGAGAATCTTTTTATAACATCTGCACTCAAAAGCCCCTATTTTCAGTAAAGAATTAAAGAAATAACAATAAAATAACTGAATCTCTGTAAACATGGAGCCAGCACCATACAGACAGTAGGCTTCAAGGTGAGAGTACACATTTCTGTCATTTTGTTTTTAAAGGAATGGTTATTCAATAAAAAGTACTAAACTGTTTTTGTTTGTTTGTATGTTAAAAGTTTAACTTGTGGATCCCTGTGGATTAAATGTTGGTGAATGCCTTTAACATGATTCTTGAGTTGTAGGGTTTGATTTCTGTGACAGTTTATATAAAAAAAACTGCTCCATGGTTTTCAGACAGTGGTACATGAGTTGCACTGTGGAAGAGATTGGGGCCTCTCTGTGCAGAATAAGTAAAGACAGTGATGGGTACACCATAATTACATTCACTGTGGAGATGGCACAGAATACTTTTTTTTTTTTTGTCTTTGTATTTTGTGTGTTTTTGTTTCAATTATTGTTTCTTTTTTTCTTTCTTTCTTTACAGTGAGTGGTAGTAAACTCTGGCATAAAGTTCTGGTGGTTCATCCACTTTTGGACTATAGTCTTGTTCCAGAACTTGAGGTTTGCATATTTTTCCATTTTACATATCTGGCTTATTTGTATGCAGACTGTTGGTTCCTCTCCTCTCAGACAGATGTACTCTGACTTCAATGAAACACTCCTAATTTATCATCCTTTACAGCATACTTGTTAGGGGGTGGGTGTGGTGCAGTGCATCTATTCTTTTCCCCACAAAATGGAGCCCTGGAACCCAGACTGTGAAAATACTGCTTGATTCAGAAATTTATTTGAGACTTGTAGTGTAACCAGGCTGTCACTGTGACTGGTGCTGACTGTACAATTGTTCTGAATATAATTCTAGCTAAAAGTGCTGTAGGAGCCCATGTTGTGAGCAGTATGGAAGGCATTCAGACGTTGAGGTCCCTGAGTGTTGAGCAGAGATTTCTTCATAAATTTGATGTGTACCAGGACCGCAGTACTGCAGCTTGTTACCTCCACTTGGCAGCAAACAGGTTAGAACAAAGCAGTTATAATTTATGAGTTGACTTTTCACAACTTGTGTACTACTCATGATTCTGCACACACGGTGTGAGTTCCTTCCCCTCCCATTCATGCTGCAGTGGGATGGGTGGCCTGTCCTATGTTGTGGGGGGTGTTATAAGATGGCTTTATTTTGCATTTGCTGGCCGTATATAATGTTTGTGGGAGGTTGTGTTGTCATGAGTCTTTGAGGTGCTGCAGGTGCCTGTGTACAAGTAAGAAGTACTGCAGAGGGAAGCACTGAAGGTGTGACTGTTCGTGAGTATTGAAACTGGGATGTTATTGTATTTCTACATTCCCTGGTGGTAGCTTGCCCCAGAAGAAAGGAGCCACTGACAAGGAATGTAGAAATACAAAAACATCGCATTTTCTATACTCATGAACGATTGGGCAAGTAGCACAACATGGAAATAATCATGTAAAAGAGCGATGACAACACGATAAAAGAGACAACAGTTAAACAATTGAAATTAAGGAATAGATAACATCCCCACAACATAGGTCAGGCCATGCGACCCACCACGGCATGAATGGGAGGGGAAGGAACTCTCATCGTGCATGCAGAATCATGGGTAGAACCACATCATGATGTATTAATTAGTAATAGTTTGAGGATTAGAAACTTATGTTTGCTAATTATTTTGATAATTTCAGGTGTTTTTTTAAATGACTGCACAGATAAAATTTTGCACTGTTTATTGCCCGGCATATTTTGTTGTATCTCACCATATAAATTGAGCAGTATATCTTTGCGTTTTCATTTTGAAAGTTCTCAATGAAAAAAACATTGTTTTGAATTTCATGTTTAATGAGTTAATAAACTTATTTAATAATCAGCTTGATACATTTTATAATAATTTAGCAATCAGTTTGATAATGGATATGTTAATTGATACATAAGCTACAAAAATAAAAGATTTCTGTGTAAAATTATTGTATACTGGTGAGTGAAATTCAACCCCTCTAGGACTGCATACAGAGTGGTTAACACCCAATGATGCAAAGTGTCAATATTCAGATGAGAATTCCCCAGCTACAAATCTCTTAAACCTGTTCAACCCTAATGTTAAATTCAAGCCCCTGACAGTTATAATGTGACCTAAAGTCTAGACAGGGAAAAAAAGAAAAAGACCTTTTTCCACGCCCTCGGGCGTATTGGGCATATAGGGCTAGATCTATATTTTATAGACCAATTAGCACTCAGTGGTTGATGTGGTTAGCATCATGCCGACCACCTTTACTTCCAAGGACTGCACCTGGTACCCACTCAAGACTGGGTCGATGTGGGAGCCAGGGTCATTTTAAAAAAAATGGTCTGGCTCCTTCAGGACCTAAACCAATCACATTCCATCCACAGTCAAGCGTCTAGCCACTACACCATAGTGACTCTCCAGAGACAGAGTAGGACAAATGAATTTATACTTGTGCTTTGTGCCCATGGATGGGGTGAAAATTATACTTGTAATTTTACTAATGGTAAACGCATTTTGTTGAGAATTCTCTACCATCTTATAGGTAAACGCATTTTGTTGAGAATTCTCTACCATCTTATAGGCAAACACATTTTGTTGAGAATTCTCTACCATCTTATAGGTAAACGCATTTTGTTGAGAATTCTCTACCATCTTATAGGTAAACGAATTTTGTTGAGAATTCTCTACCATCTTATAGGTAAACGAATTTTGAATCTGTTGAAATAATAAAAAACAAAATACTAAGATATATTTCTTATCATTGATAATGTTGTGTCTGTGTTTAAACTAATAAAATATTTGCAAGGCATCTGCAACATTCATCTCTCTTGCCTCCAAGATATTTCTCACTTGTTCATTCACATCCCACTATTGGTTGTCTCACCCAGAATAAGCTTGATTATGATTATAGTACTCTCTTTGTGACATCCAGTTAAAGTGAGTACACAAGAAAAGGCTATACTGTGAGCAGAATCATATTTCTGTTTGTTATAGTTTGAAAGAAAGATTTTAAAATGACCAGTACAATGTAGCAACTAACAAATAAGTTAGTTATAAAAAACGTGACAAAAAAAATTGTTTTAACACAACATTATAACTTTAGTATCATATGATTGATTTTTAATATATAAATATCATATTTTTTTATTGATATATTGATATTTAAATATAGCATTTATACTGATGATATCCTGTTCAGCCTTATGTGTTGAGATATATAGTCTTTTTTATTTTTTATTTAATAGTTATTTATATTTCTCTGATAATTTTGTTATTTTATATCATATCACACATTTAAAATAATTCTTGTTTCATAATTTGCCACCCATCTACCCATATCTATATATGATTATTTGTATTCATAACAGGTGGTTTGGTATTAGGGTGGATCTTCTAGGATTAGCTGTGGTTGTGGGTGTGGTGGTTGCATCATTCCTAGTCGTTGAATTTCAAGGTGAGTCAGTCCCTACAGGAATATTCAAGTGGTAATGATGTGGGTTGTGCAAAGTATAGATTGCTTGTCCTCAAAGTATCTAAAATGTCTTCATTGTAGGAACAGTTTAATATTTTATATTTATTAATTCTTGTTTCAGACAAAAATGTCTAAGAAATAATGTTAATAATGAGAGTACAGGTTTACTAATGTATTTTTTACTGAAGATTATATAGCATATATACAGGATACAATATTGCCTCCACAGTCACAATGGAGTAAACTAGTAGCAATAGAAATTAGATGTCTTAGACTAGCTGCAGGAGAGATCAGAGGAGACACATAAAATCAGGAATAAGTTCATAAGAGAAAAAGTTGACACAGCACCAATTCATAAATTATAAACAAAGATAGGAAATCAAATGGTTTGCCAACTTAGAGCAAATGCCTTGCAATGATATGCCTTACATGGTTTATACCAAACGTGGAGACAGACAGAGAGCACATGGAAGACCAAGAACAATATGGAAAGATAACATCAGAGAAACTCTTCAACAGAGTGATTTATCTATGGTCAAGGCAGCCAGGAGAGTGGGAAGCGGAAGCTTGTATTCACTCAGAGTGGTAAAAGAAGCCATGAAGAAGTACAAGAAGTCACCATAGAGTAATCTGACTGTTAGCACAACATAATAATATACATTTCTAGCAGATGGTCTTGAGCAGGGCCTCAATCATTTAAACCGAGAAGCACGGGAACACCAGCAAATAGAGAGATATGTGTGTAAGATTCTCTCAGGTTTCTTTTTTACAGTTATTTACTCGATTTAGATGTAGCACTTTAAAATTTTATTTTTACTTTCAAATTAGACCAAAATAACAGTCAGCTGGGAATAAATTGAAAATCTTGCAATCTTTAAATATCTAGGCCTTTTAATAAACATCATTGTAAACTGTTCAGCAGAAGTTTCAAGGAGAATGGTCTTAGCAATGCAAAGACTAAACAGCATTAACAGCTATAGCTAAGCACCAGCAAGCAAATGAAAGTCAAAATTTGAAGACGTATGTTCCACAATATACAGATGTAGGTCGTGGACCATGAGCCAGTTCTTCTTGATGTTCAGGTCATGGTGGATGTCAGCATATTTCTTCTTCTTGGTCCAAGGTATTCTACTAATCTTGCTGTAGCATTTCAGTTCACAAACATTGAGGAAAACAATCTGGCCAAACATTGCAGTGGCTTGGAAACAGAAGTAATGAGGGCTAAAGTACCAAGTTAGACAGGCAGGAGCTGACCAGCACAAAGGTGGGCTCAGGACATAAGAGAAACCTTGAACAGGAAAGTGAATGAGGTAGGAGAGCTGGTGAAGGACTTGAGTTTATTTTAGGTCTGCTGTGATGGGAGTGATGTTTTATAAAGAACCTGCTACTTGGTGACTTTTAAATACGTCGTGGGATGCTGTGTGTTTCAGTCAGTCTTCTCTAAAACCTCATAAAACATTCATGTATGTGAAAATAATGAGTAGGAAATTGGTGTTTGACATATTTTTTATAAATGGAGCTGCATCTTCTAGTAGTTCTCAAATTTTCACATCAAAATTGAATGTCATACATTTAACCTGGTTCTTTTCTTAACCCAAAGTTTGAGTTTATGTATATACAATTTACTGAGTGAGAAATTGGTGTTCATCTGGTGAAATACTTTGTACCAACAGAGCTGTACCTTCCTGCATCTCTAGTTGGTTTGTCACTGTACTATTCTATCAACTTGATCAATGTCAACCAACCAGCTATCAGAAAATCTGCAGCTGTGCATTTCAAGGTATGGCTGATCTCATGAGATATACATTATGTTATTAGTTACCTTAGATATGATATTCTAAATACACAGGATCAGGAAAAAATATAATGTATGATATATTTATAGTAGGTGAAATCATTACTTATTAACCCTCCACAGATTTTACATATATGAGTAATATAAAATGTAAAGGAATGAATTCAAGAAAGTGAAAGAAATTAAAAAGAAATTATTTACAACCACTGTTAACAACAGTATTTATAGAATATCTTTGCGGTGGAAACCATAGGGACATAGAAATAAAAGAACACACACACACACACACACAAACACATGGAGAAGGGAGCTAGAAAGGGAAGTTAAAAAAGATTGGAAGGACATGGGGAGAGCCACGTGCGATAGCAAAGGAGAGAAAGACTTGGCATGAGTTGGTTGAGGGCCTATGCTCCATTGGAGGTAAGAATGGCAGAAGAAGAAGACCGTTAACTAAACTTACGAGAGAAAGACAATGGGAATATACTTAACAAATAATGAGATCATGTGGAAACAGATTAACAATACAGTCACTGAAATGGGAAACAAATAGATAGAAAGTGAGGACATCTAAGAGAGACCACAGTGAATTTTTAATAGCGACACCAGAAGTGTCAGACTGGATTCCATGCATGTTATTGAAATGATTGCACAGGATACAATGGAATAGTGGAACTTCAGTAGTTGACTTCAAGCACTAATTATGTGTAAATAGAATAGCAAGATAATGATTAAAAGATCTATAATGTTTTGGAAAAGGAGGTCCTGTTTGGTGTATACAAGTTTTAAAGAAACTAGAGATTACAAGAAAGCTAATAAAAGAAAAGAGATAAATTGAACAGCTTGGACATATTAAATGACACAACATGCTATAAAAGCCATACAATGAATGTAAGTTTGGCACTGTTTAACAAGATATAGCCAGTCCTTCATGATAATGATGATGAAACAAGATATAGGCGGTGATAACAGAGGAAAGAAAATATCAACTGATGACAACAAGTTGTTAGTCAAAGTAGTGTTGAGCAATGAACTGATATCAAAGCACTTGGGACATTCCCATAAGCCCTCCATCCTCATCTTCAGCAGCCAGCAATGAGTTCCAGTTCTGACGGTGCCAGTAACAGTTTGATTATGTGTCTGTCTCGCTTTTCCTCTGAGTTGAGTGTTGACCAGATTTCCTGGCCACTGCCAGTTATACCATTCTCTCTACACCATTCATGGTCAGTCTACAGCTCTACCATTCTCTCTACACCACTCATGGTCACTCTACAGCTCTACCATTCTCTCTACACCACTCATGGTCACTCTACAGCTCTACCATTCTCTCTACACCACTCATGGTCACTCTACAGCTCTAACATTCTCTCTACACCACTCATGGTCACTCTACAGCTCTACCATTCTCTCTACACCACTCATGGTCACTCTACAGCTCTAACATTCTCTCTACACCACTCATGGTCACTCTACAGCTCTACCATTCTCTCTACACCACTCATGGTCAGTCTACAGCTCTACCATTCTCTCTACACCACTCATGGTCACTCTACAGCTCTGACATTCTCTCTACACCACTCATGGTCAGTCTACAGCTCTAACATTTTGTCCAGTTCACTTGCTGCCAAAGGGCCTTTGATATTTTAAGTTTGCCACTAGAGCATCAAACAAAAACTGTAAGAATTCCAATGTAGCAAACCCTCATTGTGAAGATGACACTTGATTGACTGAGTGGATATCTTAACTCTTTCAGTCCCAGACAGCAGTTACTTTAACTTGTTCAAAATAAGGCATTCCTTACTTTAAATATTAAATAGTATGTCTAAAATTATTTAGCTTACAACTTTACTTATCAAAAGATTAAGTAACAGGTGCCATAGAATGTAACAATTAAGTGAAATAGAAGGGGTTCAGTAATAGTTTTTTTTTCTAGATTTACAAATAAATGCATGTTACATTGCTTGGTTAAAAGTTAGTTGTGTATCCTTTCAATGACGTTGCAGGACTAGCCCAAGCATTTTTTGGCTCTTGTGGTTTTTCTAGGCAAATTTTACATTTAGTAGTTTGCCATTGCCTCTGAACGGTCAGCTGTTGGTACGACTGTCGAAACCAAGGCAAAACAGACCATCTGCAGCTGGGATCGAACCCCGTCATTAGGAAGCGTGTTCGCAACACCCAAGCCACAGACGCCGACACATTGCCAGGTACCAAATGAATTAATCTCATAACTAATATATAATTTAAAGAGCTTGGCTCTGTACTGTGTATTTGGAATCACCATTGTTTAATTTCACTATTCCCAGATGAACTCAGTGTCTCACTTACTTCAGTACTATCAGCTAGCACCAGAAGTCCCTATCCTACCTGCATCTGAGCCACCAACACCCCCAGGCTGGCCCAGGTATGGGATAATCACATGTGAGGGGGTCTCTGTCCCTCCATCTGGGACCATGCCTGCAAAAGGATGTAACCTCCTGAAGAACATCTGGTGCTGCATTAGAGCACAAGAAAAGGTCAGATTTACATACTTTTATGGTCATTTCACTTAGAATATCAAGCATTAAAAAAAAAAGAAAAATACTGACATTATACAAGATCTGAACATAAAAAAATACTGGCTCATAAATGGCAATATATCTCATAAACTGAAGCTTAGTCTGTATTGCCTATATTTGCCGCTTTTTATGGTAGTAGAACAGTAATTATAGGAATGATTTTGGTAGAATCAGCAGTCGTCAGCAGCTCAAAGGTGGATATGGAGTGTTGGAAACACAATGGACATGAGATTGTATGGGGCAGGAGAATTTGTGAGAGACCAAGATGTTGTGTGGTGGGACATGATTCAACGTTCTCACCACATAAATCTCATTTATTCTGCGGTATTAGCTTCTCATTTAAGCAGCATATAATAGATCTGTTAAATAATTCAAAATGTAGTTGCATACATTAATGACCTCATCAGTTATATTTGTTTCTCCCTGTGTGGCTTCTGTGGCCCAATTTGGATGGAGGGGGTTTAGACCCCCTGCTTCCTAACAAGCATGCCATAAAAGACAACATCTTTTGAAGTTGGAGTGCATCTGCCTGTGAGGCAAAGAATAAACAGTCTCCATACAAGCAAAACAGATCTGTAAAATGGATGTGCACATAAAATTCAAGTTATGGAAAGAGACCAAAGTCCAGAAGTGGGTGAACAACAAGAACTTTCTACCAGAGTTAACAGTCAGTGCTGAGTAGAAAAAGATATTTCCTTCCATCAACCTTCACACACTTGGACAAAATAACTGCAGATAATCACCGACTAGTCCATTCTCAAGCAAGCTGATAAGTTTAAGTACTCGGGTACACTGATAACTGATGGAAGATCTTTGAAAGGTGTTAAATGTGGAATAGCTCAAGCAAAGGCAGCATTTAGGTAGGTAGGTTGTTGTACCCCACCAGGACATCATACAAGCAATAAACACCCAGTGACACAAGATGCCACCATGCGGATGAGGATCACCGACGGAGAGGTCCCGGAAATCCTGTTCAGCCGTTAGGCCATATTTAATTCCTGGCTATATTGAGGGACCCTGGCAAAGGCCAGAGTGGGGCTTCAAAATAAATAAAAATTGTATGCCACAAGTGGATGATGAGAGATAAAGGCAGCATTTCTCTCTCTCTCTCTTGTTCTACCCCACCAGGACATCACACAAGAGATAAACACCCGGTGACACAAAGTGCCATCATGCGGATGAGGATCACCTGTGTAGAGGTCCCAGAAACCCCTTTCAGCTGCTACGCCACATCTATGGCCCAATTATAGGATGGGGCTTCAAATAACAAAAAATTGCATCCCACAAAGGGACGATTTTTACTGAAGATTAACTCTTTGAGTCCCAAGGAACACATCATACGTTCACATGTTCCTATCTAGAAGCCCAGAGAATGAACGATGCCCCGATTTTGTTACTTTCTTTACTACCCCCTTGGCCTGTGATGCTAAACCCCTTGGGACTCAAAGAGTTGAGAAAATTATGCATAATATTTATTTCTCAACTGAGAACAAGCAATAGAATTATAAAGAGCTACTTGAACCTCTGGTATAGGGAAGTGAATCACGGATAGCTGGACTATCAGTGACAAATTATTTAGAAGTGGCGGAGATGTGGTTTTGTAGATAAATGATGAGGGTACCCTGGATAGATTAAAAGAGTAATGAAGATGTTTTGAATAAAGCTGAATCACAAATTGAACTAACTGACTGCCCACATCAGAGGGAGACAATCTAGGTTCTTTGATCATGTCAGGAGAAGGAGAAAACTGGAGTACATCATTATGATCAGAAAGTTGAATGTGAAAAAAGGCAGAGAGAGACAGAGAGAAGACGATGGACAGTCTGACATCATGGCATGGAAGAACAACTGTGTCAGAATTGATTGAAAGTACATTAGAAAGATGGTGGTATATAGTATAGACATGACTATCAATGCCACATGGCAAGGACTATAAGAAGAAGTCCAGTCAACAGAAAATGTGCTTATTACCAGTCATCCCCTTGGTCCCAAGTCCCACTTGGGGCGGCAATATAGCCCGGCCATAAATATGGTCTAATGGCTGAGCGCGGTTTCCAGGACATCTCCACAGGTGATCCTCATGCACATGGTGGCCCTTCGTGTCATCAGGTGTTTATTGCTTGTGTGATGTCCTAGTGGGGTAAAATGTACTACCACTACAGAAAATATACTATGACGCAATTATTTTTTTTTTATTTGAAGCCCCACACTGGTTTTGCCGGGTGCCCTAAATATAGCCGGGCCATAATTATGACCTAACGGCTGAACAGGGTTTCTAGGCCTCTCCACTTGTGATTCTTATCTGCATGGTGGCACTTTGTGTCACCGGGTGTTTAAGACTTTGTGTGAGGTCCTGGTGGGGTACAACTTACATACATACTTTCATACAACAGAAAATCATCTTTTGACAAGTGTCAATGTTTTGTTAGCATTTACTGGCAATAGAAGCTACAGCTGAAATTAAGGACAAATCTGTTCCTTACATATTTAAATATAAACTGCCAAATCATTTTTTTTTTATGCAGCAGTTAATGTTGAGCAGTTTTTTATTCTCCTCCTCCTCCTCCTTCAACTTTATGTTCACAGGCTGTAAACTTTGGTGGACAGTTCTGGGTAATCGTCCATCCCTGGACTTTAGTCTTGCTTCAGAACCTGAGTGTCACCTGCATATCTGGCTTATTTGTATGCAGACTCTTGGTTTCTTGCCTCTCAAACAGATGTACTCCATCTTCGAAGGATGCCCACAATTAGTCGACTCCTACGACATCCTTGTTGGGGAGGCAGTGGGTCTATTCTTGTATTTCCCACAATAAGGATCCCACACAGAGATAATGCTGCTTTATCTCATTAAAATAAGCAATTTAGTTTGTGTATATCTCTGGTTTTGTTTTGCCCTACTATATTCCTAATCCTTAGAAAAACAAATTTACAAAAACCATGTTTGGTGAAGGTGTAGAAGATATAATTAAATTCATTTGGTAACTGGCAGTTAAGAATATGAACTATAATTGTATTTCAACAGATAGGAATAATATTCAGCACAACGTCTGAACAGAGAGCTTTTATATCCATGTTATTCCGGCTGACTGACTTCATGGGCGTTATCCGTGTGGATGGTGTGGATATTCAGACAATTCCCAAAAATAAACTGAGGGATAAAATTGCATATGTTCCACAGGTGAGTCAGTGCTATAGTTAAAAAAAATGTATTTTCTAATCCAGCACTTGTGGGCTGTTTGTTGTTTTACTAGGCAGATTTACTTTCAGTAGTTTGCAATTGCTTTCTGACCAGTTCAACACTGATACCATTATTAAAAATGAAAGAAAGGTGGTTTGCTTCTGAAGTGCTTGCAGCTGACCTGTAATCCTGTTATGTTGGAATTAGGAACATGCAGTTATAACCCCTAAGCTTCAGATGCTGACCCAGTTGTATAGACATTCAGATAATAATTGCTGGTTTCATATTTTGGTCTGTGGCCTAATAATTCAGACGCAATCATATTTCGTAAATGTTTTGAATATGAGGAGCTTGTAACCATACAGACACTGTAGAGTTTGTCCAGCTTAGTTCTCTAGAGCTAGCAGTTTTTGGTTTTGACAGTTTAGGTAAAAAGTAATACATAAATAAAAAAGTAAAGTAAAGTAAAGGACCCTTTTCCACCCCTTTAGGTGTATAGGGCATACAGGGCTAGACCTATATTTTATAGACCAACAGCACAAGATGGGTGATGTTTTCAGCATCATGACAGCGGCCTCTACTTTCCAGGACTGCACCCGGTACCCACTCAAGGCTGGGTCAACTTGGCAGCCAAGGTCAATTTTGAAGAAAAGTCTGCCTCCTGCAGGGAGCAAACAAAGTAATACATGGAGACTAAATAAATTTTAGGAAGAGTGCCCTAACCACCTTAAAGCTGGGTTCTAAAATTGTTATTGAATTTGGGATCAACATAAATGTTTTCTATGTGGTTACTAGTGAGAACATTCATATCTAGCCTTATATTTTATTTGCTTTAAGAATTAACTCTTAGTCCCAGGGGGTTTAGCTTCAGAGGCCCAAGAAATGGTAATGCAATTTTAGTGTCTCAAGTGTAACACATTAAAAAAGACCATACTAATTCATGAGGCTTTATAGAAGAATCCTTAGAATTCCTTGGACAGCTAAGATGAGTAACCCGGATGTTTTGAAAGAGGCAGGTGCTCGAAGACGGCTTATCACAGCTTGGTCATGTTATGAGAAGAGGGAAAATGGAGCATGTTGTGACCGCTGAAAAGATTTGTGAAAAGAGAGACAGAAGAAAACAATGTGAGAAGAAGTGGCAGAAGCTCGAGGCTCAGAAGAAAGGCAAGACGGACGTTTAAGCAGAAAGCTCCTGGCACCATTAGTATGGGAACTCTTCGCTGGCTGCTGAAGATGGGGATGGAGCGCTTATGGGAATGCCCCAAGTGCTGTGATGTCGGTTCTTGAATCAAATCAAATCAAATCAAAACCAGTTTCCCCTCTTCTTATGTGACCATTGTAATAATGAGTTAACATCTGTTTCAGAATCCTTCATTGTTTATTGGGACTGTGAGAGAGAATCTTGACCCTAGAAAACTCTTTCCAGATGCAAGTATATGGAAGGTTCTAGAAGAAGTATGTGGTACTAATGTATTGTTTCACATGTAATCATTGGCACTTATAATAGTGTTTTAAATGTTCACATATTACTAGTGGCCTGCTTACTTGCTGGGGATTAAACCCAGTTTTTGTCAGCAATATCTTCTTTATGTTGGCAGGAGGTCCTGTAGTTGCATAATGAAAAATATTTATCATCATCATCATAAACCATTTCTGCCGTTAAGCATCGTGGGGGGGGGGGGGGGGGGGGGGGGGGGGGGGGGGGGGGGGGGGGGGGGGGGGGGGGGGGGGGGGGGGAATAATTTGCGATCCAGTGCACGTTGGATACCACTGTCTATTGTCATGCCGTGAAGGCATAGAGTGTCTTTAATGTTGTTGATCCATGTTTTCCGCGGCCGTCCTCTTGCTCTTGTACCATTGTTTCTCGATGAATCTAGTACAATGTGTCATTCCCACAATTTGCCTGATAGTTTCATTATTCACTCGATCTCGTATGGTTAGGTTGGCTGCTTTTCTCAGGCACCTCATCTCGCAGGTAGTGATTTTGCGTATATGGGCTTTAGATAGTGTCCATGTTTGGCACTGGTAGCCTAATGTTGGAATGAATATGCTATTATTAATCTGTCTCTTTGCACTCATAGTAATGCTTGGATGTCTTAATAATGATGAAAAATATTGTTAGTGTTTAAATCAAATATGTTTAGCATGTTCATTACATCTACATCCATGGTACCCACTGTGAACAGACTTTCCAATACTTACTGTAGTTTCTTAAAAACAATCTTTTAAACTGTCAAATTCTTGCCAATTCTCTGCTGCATGAATTGGCACAATTCACTAGCAAACATATGCTTTGACAATGCTTCACCAGTATTGCTGCATAAAATTTGATTTTTGTTGTTGTTGCAGCAATATGCACTTGCCCTGGCCCTGGAATATGTGTCATGGACTCATGTTCTTTCTTAAACATTCATGACCAGTCTGTCACTGTTTTCATGGACTCATGTTCTTTCTGAAACATTCATGCCCCATCTGTCACTGTTGTCTTCGACACACATTTGTTACTAAACACTGTCTGCATTCTTTAGTTTATTGGTCAACATCTTTCAAATGAAACAAACAGATTCACTGCTCTTTGAGCATCTTTGGACACATTTTGGATCAACCTGGTCATTTTCTCAATAGTCAGAAACAGAACCTTTGCATTATGAGATGATAAGCACATGATCTTTCATTCATTGATCAGTACTTTTCTCATGACAATGACATGATCATGTTCAACACATGCAGTTACGCACAGTGTGGCACAAACAAGCTTCAAATGAGCGCTCCTAATATATCCAATGACATTTGTTGATGATCAGTGTTTGTGCAGGCATGTGGTTGTACGCAAAGAAACATTTCTATAGTCTCTGGCTAACAGTGAAGAAAAGTAAATTGATTTCTCTTTTTTTTATAGGTTCACCTGTCTACGTTGGTGTCCTGCTTGCCACAGAAACTGGCAACAGACATAGCTCTAGTCGCAGATGGCATGAGTGTAGGTCAACGGCAGCTGCTGCGGTTAGCCGGGGCCATGCTACATCAATCAAAGATCATTATATATGAGGAGCCAACCACTAGTTTAGATATTATGTAAGCTGTTTGTTGTAAACACTTATGTGTCTGTTAATTTCAGAAAAAGATGGACTGGAAGCCATCATCAGAGGCTAATCTTGCCAAGTGTTTATGATGAGACAACTTCTATTTAACTTTTTTCCTATGGTTAAAGTTTTTAATGGCTTATTTCTTCTATGTACGGGCACTTCTGTGTTTTTTGTTTGTTATTTTTTAAAATTTTTTTAAAAGGCATTATTTATTTCTAGGGCTACTGTAATAGGCACTTTATTGTGAGTACCCACATTTTGTTTAGGTAGTTTGTGATGAGTACCGGCACCTATTTTTGTAAAGGGTAAAAACAACCCTGGTGTTTAATCTGTCTTGTATTCTTAATTAAGAATAAGTATTAAAAATTATGTCATAAATATGTGAATTTGAATCTCCTCCTAAGTGTCACTATGAATAGGTAGAGAGGTGTCTGGTCCATAGTTTCTTACTACAGGAATTGTTTTAAAACTTCAACAGTATTGAAATGATAATAAACCTAGTGAAAGAGTAATTAATTTCTTGATATTCTTTCAGATGTGGAGGGTAGAGTTTAATTTTATAGGAGATAAATGTGAATCATATGTTATTATGCTAATTAAGTAAGCTTACATTTTTTTCCAGATAATCAAAGATTATATGGATAAATTCACTCTGATGAAATTTCATTCGCTGAGGCTGAAATGTAAATTAATAAAAGATGTAAGATTTAATGCAAGAATGATGTAATAGATGATGATGAAAAGAATGATTTTGTCATGAAAAGCAAAAATATACTTGCAGTTGTCTGTGGCCTGTGTTTTGTTTTTCTGCATGGAGACAGGAGGCAGGTAGATAGTATACAAATCAATGTGATGTATATGTGATGGTGGAAAATGTGTTATGATTAAAGAGCTCTTACAAAGGTGAGAGGAAAGAATTAGCAATTTATAATTTAAAAAAATTAATAGAGAATGGTTAACAAAATAACATTTCCCAGCTAAGCAAAGGAGATACATTCAGTAGTAATAAATTCATTTATTGTGGAATTATGAACCTCTTCTTCTCCAAAACATCAAATGACAGAAAGGATTGGAGAGTTTTTATCATCAATGTCTGCTTCAGACTAGTTGCCTAATGCAAAAACAAAATCAGTAAGAAAGAAAAGAAGTGTATTTATTTGAATTTGTAAACCTTTTGTACAAATCAGACAAGATTTTCTTGATAGATCAAGAATTAAAATGCTACTAATTCAAAGTCATACAATAAATAAGATTACTTGCTGCACTAAGACCTACTTCTTCTTGTCATATAACTAACTGTCACAACATTAATTCTGATTTTTCAGGCAGAAGTTTGAGGTTTGAACAACGGATCATTTCACACGGCTAGTAACCCATAATTGCTCCATTCTTCTTCTAACTCAAGTCTGAGTCCGAAGAAGCTCAGCACAGTGCACAGACTCTGTAGCACTGGCAAGGATCCTGAAATACTTTGGGTAGATTTGTCACTCCAAATTTCGCTCAGGCAGCGTCGTTAGGCTACTCTTTTCAATTTCCAACTACCAAGGGATTTTTTACATGAGCAACAATGCCCACTGACATCCAATCTCACTACCCAGAGACCAGGGGGAATTACTAGAAGTCCAAGTCCATGTGATAAAATCCCAGCCCTTACCGGGGATTGCACCCGGAACCTCTAGCACTCGAGGCAGACACCATGCCTCCTGACCACACATCCCGCCCCCCCCCCCTTTCCCAGACATTTAGAAGTAAAATGTTTTAGTGATAATGACAAACAATAACAGATTTACAGAAAAGATCTTTTCACAACCAGTGAGATCTAAAATATTAATGGAAGGAAAAGACAAGAAATAGTTTCCTGTAATAACTGTTTCTTACATTTCAGGTGCAATACAATAATACACGGTGTCTTACGGACCAAGTTTCAAAGTCATACTGTTATACATATAGCACATTTACCTGATACTATTATTTATGCAGATAGAATCAAGGTAAGAATTTCCTGTTTTTTTTTTTTTTTTAATTTAATAAGGAAAAAAAATATCGGAAGGCCTCATTTGGTGTGCAAAAATACTGTAACTTTGATAACATTAATATATAGTAAAGACCATGGGAAAACAGCTACATCTCTCTCTTTCTCTCTCTCTCTCTCTCTCTCTCTCTCTCTCTCTCTCTCTCTCTCTCTCTCTCTATATATATATATATATATATATATATATATATATATATATATATATATATATATATATATATATATATACATATATACATATATAAATATATATATATATATATATATATATATATATATATATATATATATATATATATATATATCTCTCAGGATTATCTTCTCCCTCCCCATCTTCCCCTTTCTTACTCTGCCCCCCACCTCTTCATTCTCTGTGTGCCTGTTCTATCTCTTTCCCTCGTTCAGTATATTGACCAGTCTTTTGATATATACACACAATCAAGCAAACAAAAGCTTTCAAGCATAGGATATGTTCTGACCTTACAGCAAGCAACTATCTGCGCATGTGAGAGGCAAACATTTTTTACATGGTAAATGAAAACCACATTGCATAATTACCACACTTGATTATTTACACAGACAGTTCAGTTACAAGAGGCAAAAGAAGTTCTTGGGGTTTCTTAGCAAAAGTTAATGGTCAACGTTTGGTGCAGGAGAGCCTAGTGTATTATACCACAACATCCAGCTTAAAAATGTAGGTGGTGGTGGTCAGTGCGGCTTTCCACTGGTTAGAGAACAGGGGGACACACACACACACACACACACACACACACACGCACGCACGCACACACTCACGCACACTCACAAACTGACTCAGAAAGCTGGTGAGGAAGGTCAGGTCAGACATGCGTTGTTTAGAGGGGCATGCTTCACTGTAGAGAACACAAGTGTTGTTTGGATTTTTTCACCGGGGGACAGACTGGCTGGCTCTGCACAAATTGGTGGAATGCTTATGCACAATAAGGCAGACGTGGTTAGTGCCTTGTGGGAGAGCATGTACAGTTCAGAGGAGCAGATGGATCACCACAGTCTGGTGAGATTGATGCTGCAGGGAGTGACGAGAGGTTTTGGCAGATCCTCGAGGCTCAGAGGAAAGGCAAGACAGACGCTTAATCAGAATGCTACTGGCACCATTAGTATCAGAACTCTTCACTGGCTTCTGAGGATGGAGACGGAGCGCTTATGGGAATGCCTCGAGTGATGTGATGTCGGTTCTTGAATCAACTTAACACATTGTGTACTTTTTTGTATAACAATACTAGCAGAAGGGACAATTATTTTTCATAAGTATTACACAGACAACTAACAGTAATTTCCAGTGCAGTCAACTAACAGCTCATGCTGAAAGTGTTTTTTTCATTTGCCATAATTGTGTAGTATATAACAGCATATGTAACGGTAATTTACATTTTGGTCATATAAATAATTACATGATACATAACTTTTGGAAACAAATATGTACTCTTAGAGCTCAATTAACACCATTTTTGAAAAATGACTACTACTACTACATATGACAGTAAAGACTGCTGTGATGATAAATAGAATATGTGAAATCACTCATTTTTATGTTCTATTTTATCTGCTTAAATTTATATTATTTTTTTTTCAACATTTTAAAAACTTTTAACCCTCCCCCACCCCCCCTCCCCCCCCCCACCCTCTTCTCCCCTTTCCCCAATTAATGTCCTAGAAAGTAAAGGTGGCTCCTGTCATGTTGACCACATCAGCCATTGAGTTTCATGTTGACCACATCGGCCATTGAGTGTCATGTTAACCACATTGCCCATTGAGTGTCATGTTAACCACATCGCCCATTGAGTGTCATGTTAACCACATCGCCCATTGAGTGTCATGTTAACCACATCGCCCATTGAGTGTCATGTATTCCACATTGGCCATTGAGTGTCATGTTAACCACATCGGCCATTGAGTGTCATGTTGACCACATCGCCCATTGAGTGTCATGTTAACCACATCGGTCATTGAGTGTCATGTTAACCACATCAGCCATTGAGTGTCATGTTAACCACATCGCCCATTGAGTGTCATGTTAATCACATCGCCCATTGAGTGTCATGTTAACCACATTGGCCATTGAGTGTCATGTTAACCACATTGGCCATTGAGTGTCATGTTAACCACATCGGCCATTGAGTGTCATGTTGACCACATCGCCCATTGAGTGTCATGTTAACCACATCGGTCATTGAGTGTCATGTTAACCACATCAGCCATTGAGTGTCATGTTAACCACATCGCCCATTGAGTGCCATGTTAACCACATCGCCCATTGAGTGTCATGTTAACCACATTGGCCATTGAGTGTCATGTTAACCACATTGGCCATTGAGTGTCATGTTAACCACATCGCCCATTGAGTGTCATGTTAACCACATCAGCCATTGAGTGTCATGTTAACCACATCGCCCATTGAGTGTCATGTTAACCACATCGCCCATTGAGTGTCATGTTAACCACATCGGCCATTGAGTGTTATGTTAACCACATTGGCCATTGAGTATCATGTTAACCACATCGGCCATTGAGTGTCATGTTAACCACATTGGCCATTGAGTGTCATGTTAACCACATCGCCCATTGAGTGTCATGTTAACCACATCAGCCATTGAGTGTCATGTTAACCACATCAGCCATTGAGTGTCATGTTAACCACATCGGCTATTGAGTGTCATGTTGAACACATCGGTCGTTGAGTGTCATGTTGACCACATATGCCATTGAGTATCATGTTGACCACATCGGCCATTGAGTGTCATGTTGAACACATCGGTCGTTGAGTGTCATCTTGACCTCATCGGCCATTGAGTGTCATGTTGACCACATTGGCCATTGAGTGCCAATTGACTGTAAACATATGAGTCAAACATGATATACCCAAGGTGACTGTGGCATGGAAAGAGATCTTTTACTCTAATTTTACCCTATATACAAATGTTTCGTCTTGTGATGGAGTCGCCGTGGTTTTGGCAGCCAGACACCCACCTGCGGATCAGAAGGTCGTGGGTTTGTGCCCTGACAGCTCCTGACTTTTTTTCCAAAATGATCTTGATTCCCAGGTTGACCCAGTTATGAGTGGGTACCAGGTGCAGTCCTGGGAAGTAAAGGCAGCTGACATGATGCTGACCACATTACCCACCAAATGCCGATTGGTCTATAAAAATATAGGTCTAGCCCTATATTCCCAATACGCCTAAAGGTGTGGAAAAGGGACCTTATTTTCTTCTTGTGATATACTGTTCATCGTTTAACTGATATTTGTACTATGTGCAAGTCTCAAGCATTTCATGTCTTTTTAATGAACATTCTTTTTTATTCTACACAGATTATCAGTGATGGCAAAATAGCAGAAGTAGATACTCCTTATGCCTTGTTGCAAAATGCAAACAGCAAGCTTAACAGCTTAGTATCTGAGCTCGGAGCAGCTCAGGCAAATCATCTTCATCAGCTGGCTCTTGATAAGCATGAGAAGCGGCCATATGTGGCACCACACATTGACCCAGCTGATTTCCCAGAGTTTACTCCCCCTGGAAATGGAGACTTCAGGTCACCAAACAATTTAAATGTGTTACCTACGTTTCATTCTTCAAGACTGGCAGGAGTTTTAAATCAACTACCAACGAATAAATTTTCTACGGATAGATTGTAGTGTGCGTTTTTATATGTGAACAGAATGTGAACATAGATATTTGTGCATAAATGCTTTAATCAGATAACTATAAGACTTGGAAGCAATATAAAGAAACTGCTAAAAAATATTACAAAAGTAACTTTTAATTATGTATACAATTATATATACATGTATGTCATCCAACTCTCTTTAACAGAGTTAAGAGGTGGAACAAGCATCAAGATTATTTTTAAGTGATGAGAATTTTCAGATATTATGTATACTCAACCCTACTTTAAGGCTCATAATCATGGACAATGAACAAGCAATCTGAAGTCAAACTGAAGCTCTAGAGATGTGGATATACAAAAGAATATGTCATATTTTGTGGAAACAAACAACAATCAAGAGTTGAAGAAATGCAGATAAGGGAAGATAGCAACCATTACTGCTTACATCTTTCAGCATGGCACATGACAATGATTGTTTAAGGAGACTGAACATCTAGAGTATTGTCAGAGTGCAGTGGTGTTGGTCTGGTAAACATGAAACAATGAAACAGCAGGCGTTAAATTTTGTTAGAAAGTAAAAACATTTTGATATATTTTTTGTATTTCAGTATCTGCAGTGTAGGATGTAATTTCATGTATTATTTAATTACCTGTAAGAATTAAGTATCTTGTAAAATTTAGCATGTTTTCTACAAGCATGTGTTGACATGAAGTCATGATTTAACTGAGAGTGTTATTTAACACGTATTTTGTGCAAGTGTGTGTAGAGTTGAGGTCATTATGTCAGTAAAAGTAAAGGGAATTACCTGTGTCATGCCAATGTGTGTGTAGAATTAAGTTCATTATGTCAGTAAAAGTAAAGTGAAGTATCTGTTTCATGTCAGTGTGTGTAGAATTGAGGTCACCATGTCAGTAAAAGTAAAGTGAAGGACCTGTGTCATGCCAATGTGTGTGTAGAATTAACTTCATCATGTCAGTAAAAGTAAAGTGAAGTATCTGTTTCATGTCAGTGTGTGTAGAATTGAGGTCACCATGTCAGTAAAAGTAAAGTGAAGGACCTGTGTCATGCCAATGTGTGTGTAGAATTAACTTCATCATGTCAGTAAAAGTAAAGTGAAGTATCTGTTTCATGTCAGTGTGTGTAGAATTGAGGTCACCATGTCAGTAAAAGTAAAGTGAAGTATCTGTTTCATGTCAGTGTGTGTAGAATTGAGGTCACCATGTCAGTAAAAGTAAAGTGAAGGACCTGTTTCATGCCAGTGTGTGTGTAGAATTGAGGTCACCATGTCAGTTAAAGTAAAGTGAAGGACCTGTTTTATGACAGTGTGTGTGTAGAATTGAGGTCACCATGTCAGTGAAAGTAAAGTGAAGGACCTTTTTCATGTCAGTGTGTGTGTAGAATTGAGGTCACCATGTCATCAAAAGAAAAGTGAAGGAGCTGGTTCATGCCAGTGGCTTATCGGGCATATGATGCTAATCTCATATTTTGTAGATCCGTCAACACTAGATGGGTATTGTGGTCAATATCATGCCTACGGTCACCTTTACTTTCCAGGACTTTACCTGAAGCCCATTTTAGGCTGGATAAACCTAGGCACTGAGATCATTTTAAAATAAAAATTTCAAATTTGATGCAAAATTGGACCCAGCATCTTTGGGCTAGCTGGTGAGCATTCAGCTGCTATACCACCGAGGCTCAAGTCTTGTTGTAAACTCTTGTAATATAAACAGTTGTTTCCCCAAGTGTATGTGGAAAAGAAAGCCATGTTAAAACTTCATAAATATGTATGCTACAAAGTGCTTTTATTATCTAAAAGACTGCATTTTTAACATTAGTATAAACATGTTTCAAAAATAGCTGTTTTCTTTGTGTTTTTTTAAACAGATTTACATAATTCTGCATCACTGAAAAAATTTTTAATGTCATTTAAGTCAATGTGTCCGATTTCAGCACAAATTTATTGATGGTATCAGATCCCATTGCAGCAACATTCCATTTATATCTGTGATGGACTGTACCTTTTGTATATGTAGATTTAATTCAAGTCTCAAAATCTCCTCTTTTTTTAGTTCAGTTTTTGCCTGATCATATTTCTTTGATTTTCTCTTTTGAACATTTCATTGTGTGCGATGCTATTGCATCTTTGTTTAGTAAATTTCAAGCAATTACATACAGTCCTAGATTAATATAAATCACCGACACTGATGTTTTGCCAGGGAGCATAAGAAAAACAGAGAACACTAACACATAAATCAGCCATGCATGTCATAAGAGGCAGCTAAGGAGGGTTGAGTGTTGAGCCAAGAACTGACATCACAGCACTCAGGATATTCCATAAGCACTCTCTTCTTCTTTCTATTGGTTCGTCTGTGTGACGTAAATGCGTTGTGCCTGTTTATAGCAGAGCTGCAATATTTGCGCCTTTAGACTGACACTCCCAACCTCATCAAGCATTTGTTGACCAGATTCACTTCCCTGATAGTTTCATGAGACAGGGACATGTTGTGGCCTTATTTTTGTGGTGTTCTCTATGTCACCTTATCTATAGGTGTTGCCACTTGAGAACCCATCCAAGGCATTCCCTTGTAGACAGGTCAGACTTCAAGGGAATGCAGGGGCAGATCATGGGCATTTCAGCCATCCAAGGAGGCTTCCATAAATGCAGAGCCGATGCATGATGCTCAGGTTCAGGGCTCACCCAAGGAATCATCACATCCTGCACATGACTGCTTAACCTCACATCCATGTGTTGAGCTTTCTAATTGTCACAGGCTGCGACCACTGGAGATCACCAGGTAGCAGTCCACAAGACCGTGACTTCAGTGACCACACAATTAGGTAAATTTTTCTTCGGCACATCGGACACCTTCAATGTTGTTTCATCTGGAAACTTAGCAAGACTGTATGGCAAAGCATGCGTCTGGGGAGTGGGCCAGTGGTAATGGACATGTGAAACTTTCTGCCAGTTAGTAGGCCTTTTTTTTTGGTTGAACATTCAGGACTTTGTTTCTGTGCCATGGAGCATGAATCATACGGATATTCATGCCAAACCAGCACACTGACAGTGGCAGGTTGTCATGGTGTACTTCAGTGTGGTGATGACAGCATTGAGGAACAACAAGGGATGTACAGAGCCTGTCCTATGTTATACCACCTGTAAGAGATGTTGCTTGTCTAGGCTGCGAGTAAATCTCTTTGATTTATGGCTGAATCTCAGCAGTACAGTAGTTATTCCCACTTGACAGACATTTTAACAAAGGGTTGTAATTTAGTAGTATGTTCTGCTAGTGGACTTTATCCATCTCCCAAATGACCACACAAAAAAGCACTGAAGAAGGGAACTGATTACTCAACCTATTATATCATGGTTTAGAATATGTGGAGTTCATCCCTTTCATATGCTAATGTCAATATCTGGGCTACTTTAATCTGTGCAAGACAAATTAAGTATCAGTCTATAAGCTTTTAAATCTTTCACCTATCAGCTTCTACTCTACTTTGTCATCTATCAGTCTTTACACCTGTATTTACCTTAACTTTTAGAATTTATCAGGAAGCAGGTAAAGGCTTTTTTTATAAAATAGTGTTATTTCTTAGTGATGATCTTAATTTTGAGCTAGTCTATAGAGAAGAGATTAGTGGTGCATTGGTATATGCTTTGAGAAAACATGTGTGTTTATATTATGAAGACTGTGATATGTTCAAGCCCAATTTCTGTTTAAGATTGCACTATTTACTAAAAATTATGATTCTTAGTTTATATATAACATGTAGTCTCACAGCTGCGATCAGATGCTAAATCTAGTATAAGGATTCTGTGAGGTGTTTGTCTGCCATTTCACTGAATGTTTAGTCATTTGTAAGAGGAAATATAGACCACAACACACTGTATCAAGTTCAACCAGCTCCCTTATCAAAGGTGCTTTTGGTAGTAAGTGTGGCTTGTTTTTCTTGCATCAAGTTTAATGACTGAAATTGGATTTGTGTGCTAAAATCTTCTTCTCTTTCTTTTTTTATTTCATGTTCACCAGCTGTAAACTCTGGCAGAAAGTTCTGGTTGTTCATCCGCTTCTGGACTGCAGTCGTGTTCCAGAACCTGAGTGTTGCATGTGCAAAGATTTTACAGATCTGCTCGTTTGTATGCAGACTGCTGGTTCCTTGCCTCTCAGGCAGATGCAATCTGGATTTGAAGGAAGCCCCCAAATAGTCGACTCTTACAACACGCTTTTGGGTAGGCAGTGGGTCTATTCTTGTTTTTCCCACAATAGGGCCACGGAACCTACATGGCTATGTGCTATATTTAATAGCTTAGTTTGCCTACCTATTTGTTATTGTCTTTATCCCTGCATGTCTAAATTTGTTATGTTGGTCTGGCTGAGTCATCCTCTATGTCCTTCCTCCTGGTTGTGCTTGCTGTTGTGTGACTGTAATCGTTTTAATTATATGTCAGATCTTTTGTGTTATTCCATTGAAAGGTTTATGTTAGTGTCTGTTGTGTTGTCACAAGTCCTGCTCAGGGTCCTATTTGGACAATTTGTACCTTGTTATGAGATCCTGAAAGTATTCAGTCCCAGAGATGATCTGGGTTATGAACTCCTTAAATTATTCAGTCCTAGAGATGATCTGGGTTATGAAGTCCTGAAACTGTTCAATCCTAGAGATGATCTGGGTTATGAAGTCCTGAAACTGTTCAGTCCTAAAGATGATCTGGGTTATGAAGTCCTGAAACTATTCAGTCCTAGAGATGATCTGGGTTATGAAATCCTGAAACTGTTCAATTTTACAGATGATCTGGATTATGAAGTCCTGAAACTGTTCAGTCTTAGATATAGTTGTGATCTGAACCAGTCGATAACATTCAAGTGAAAGTGGAAATTCTCAAATAGGTGACTTGATACCACTATCTCAAAGCATTTCTAACATCTGATGGGAGAATTTCCATGACAAATGTAGCTATTTGTGATATGGAAAACAAAGTGAAAACTGTCAACTGCACTTGAAAAGTAAGTTGGCAGGATGTTTGAAAT